GCGCAGGCGACGAGCTCGTGGACGGGGGACCGGTCCGCGTCGCGGCCGACGGCGTCCGCGTGCCGCTTCCTCAACGCCGCGAGCGTCGCCTCGCGCGTCTCCGGCGCGTAGTCGAGCAGCGTCTCGAGGCCCGAAGCGACGACGACCTCGTCGGCCTTGGACAGCAGCACGTCGACGGCGTCCGCGACGACCGCGTACGCGTCGCGCGCGTCCACGGGCGCGATGCCCTTGGCGAACGACGCGAGGCCGAACAGCGCGTTGAGCAGCTCGCGCGCGATGTCGCGGTTCTCGGCGTACAACGCGCGGGCGACGACGTAGGTGCCGCGCTCCGTGGACACGGACGCGTCGCGGGGCTCGTTGCGCGACGCCGGCCGGCAGGGGTCCGCGCCGGCCTTGAGGAGCGCCGCGACCGCGAGCCGGCTCGACTTGCGCGTCTTCTCGCCGCAGGACCCGGCGACGAAGGCCAGGGGCGTCGACGTGCGAGCTTTCGCCCCCGCGTGGCCGTTGCCGTTGATCTCCGCCTCGAAGGCCTCGGCGCCGCACACGCTCCGGAGCCACGCGACAATCTCCGCGTACTTCGGCGCGAAGGCCTCCGGCGCGCCCTCGCGGTCGAAGTTCGAGTCGTCGCAGTTGCCGAGCCAGTGGAGCGCCGAGTAGTGCTGGTTCTCCGCGCCCGCGGACCCCAGCAGCCCGCCGAGGCCGCCGTCCTTGCCGTCGCCGACGGACGCCGCGCCGCACCGGAGGATGCCCCGCGACGCGTCGCCCCCCGACTCCGCCTGGATCTGGCGCGCGATGGCCTTGGTGCACTCCACGTCGCCCCAGCGGATGGCCCGGCAGAGGAAGGCCCACAGGTTCTGGGGCCGGAGCGTCGCGGGCGAGTAGCCCGACGCGCGCTCCGCGCAGCACCGGCGCACGAGGCGCCACGTGTCCGCGCCCTTGGCCCGCCGCGACACGAGCACGGACGCGCACACAATCAACTCCGGGTCGTCGTCGCCGGCCATGTCCTCCTCGCGGACGTCGCGGAGGAACCAGAGGTTGCGGCCGCCGACGGGCGCGGGCGCGCGCGACGCGCGCGACTCCACGCTGCTGTGGCGCGGCCGCGGGTCGTCCTCCGCCAGCTCCCCGGCGACCTGGGGCTCCAGATCGTCGAAATCCTCCGGCTCCAACGTCGCGGCGTCGTCCGCGTCGTCCGCGTCGTCGTCGTCGCGGCCGCCCGCGTCGCCGCCGAGGCCGAGCACGAGCCGCGCGAAGCCCCGCGCCGGCAGGGGCGGCACGGACTGGTCCTCGTAGAGCTCGCGCCCCCGGAAGAGCCACGACGCCGCGCGCGACCCCGCGCAGCCCGCGAGGCGCGCGCGCGCCGCCGGCGCCGTCGGCTCGTCCAGGTTCTCGACGACGCAGAAGGCGAAGCGTGCCTCGCAGCAGGCCCCGAAGGGCCGCGCGCCGCTGGGCCCCGCGAAGTCGCAGCGCGCGTAGACGCCCAGGTCGCTCGCGTCGTCGCACGACCGCGCGCGGTTCGGGTTCCGCGCGCCGCGCGCGCCCCGCGCGCCCGTGCCGCCGCCGAGGCTCGCGTCGTCGTCGTCGTCGTCGTCCCAGTCCCGCGCGTTCGGCGCCTTCTCCGGGCGCCGCGCGTCCAGGCTCAGCGTCCACCGCGAGCCGCCCGCGTCGACGACGGTCTCGAGCACCTCCTCGGCCCGGAGGCTCCGCTCCGCGACGCGGCGCCGGTGCAGCGCCAGGAATGCGCTGCGCTTCACGGCGCGGCGCGCCGTCCAGGCGCAGCGCGGGCCCGGGTCCGGCGCGAGGATCGTCGGCGGCGACTTGGGCCCCTTGGGCGCCGGCGGCGCGTCGCCGTCGCGGTCCGCCGGCGGCAGCGTCCACTTCTCGAGCTTCGCGTCGAACTTGGGCGGCCGCGGCGCGTCCCAGACCAGCGCCCGCGCCGGCGCCGTGTCCGCGTTGTGCGCCAGCAGCGCCGCGCGCCGCGCCTCGCGGACGTCCTCGCGCGCCGCGGCCTCGCCGCCGGGCGCGGCGGCCGCCGCGCGGCGCACGAGGCGCCACACGGCCTTGGACAGCGCCGCCGCCTCGTCGGGCGCGCGCACGACGACCGTCTCCGGCGGCCCGTCGCCGAGCGCGGGCGCGCTGAGCGCCCAGACGCAGCCGTCGCCGTCGTCGCCGTCGTCGTCGTCGCTCGCGTCGTCGCGCTCGCCCGGCGCCGCGTCCGCGGCCCGCAGCGTCGTCGCCGCCGACCGCACGGGCTCGGCCAGCAGCCGCTCGCCCTCGGCGCCGCGGCCGCTCAGCTCCAGCGCGACCGCGCCGACCGTCGTCTTCGCCGCGCGCGCCGTCGCCGAGAGGCCGTCGGGCGACGCGCGCAGCGCGACGCCCTCGAGCGTCGCCGCGCGCGCCGCCGCCGACGCGCTCGCGAACCAGGCGCGGCCTAAGGAAACACACGGGGGTGACCGGGGGGGGGTCGAAGGGGGGGGGCGGGGGGTTTCGGACGCGGCGGCGCGCCGCGCGTGTCCGTCGACACGACGGAGAAGGCCGACTTGGAGTGCGTCGGCGCGAGCGCGCTCTTGAGGAGCATGGCCGCCTCGGCGGCGTCGAAGTGCCACTCCGGGGCGCTGAAGGTCACGACGTGGATCTCGCAGGCGTCGAGGTCGCGCACGACGGCCTCGGCGCAGCTCGCGCTCTCGGCGCGCGCGCCCTCCTCGCTCTCGTCGAGCTTCCTTTTCTTCCGCATCTTTTTCGCCCGGGGGACGGCCTCGGAGGCCGCTTTCACCCGGGGGACGGCCCCTCTTCCACGCACGCGGCGGCGGGCGCCCAAATTGCTGAGGCCGAGCGAGGGCGCAAGGAGAGCGACGGAGCTCTCGATACGGACCTGCAATTTTGGCCTCTATATCGATCACAGCCATAAAATCGGCTCGAGTGGGCAAGGGGATATAAATCTAGATGGGGTGGCAGGCGAAACGCGAGGTCCTCGTACTACTCGGGGCCGCCGCTAGCGTTTTCTTTCTTCTTCCACGCCGCAGCGCGCGGGCTGAGTGCAACGATGGCGGGTCGCGCGGCGCGGCGCGGCTGCGGAACCCTTCGACGGGGCGGGGCAGCGAATTTGGGCTGCTGAGATCATTGCGTTGGCTCGCGAGCGCGACGGTTGTTCGGCGGCGGGACGAGAGGGCGGCGGTGTGAGTCGAGTGTGCGATATTTTCTTGTCCTTAGAGGTTGGAGGCGCCCTATGGGTACCCGCGGGGGGCTCGAAACCTTCAGGACACACTTTTCCCACGATCTCAGAGCCTGCGCAGCCCCGGCGCCGACGGTGTCGCAACACAGTTTCTCGGGCAGCGTGCGGGCATTCGAGGTCGAGAACTTTTCGTGTCCTGAGATGCTCGAGCCCATCCATAGGTACCAACGAAGGGCTCTGCAGCGCCAGCAGACGGTCCACGACCATCATCATCGCGAACACGTCCAAGAGCTGCCCCAAAACCCCCTTCCTCGCGTGGCGCCAAACCGGACACGGTGCCCTCCAGCGCGCCTCGGTTTCCTTCCACCGGACCCGAACCGCCCGGACGCGTAAGTCTTGTCGCGGGCGCCTTCGCGGGGGAGCGAATACCGCTGCGGTCCGTCTGGGGCCGCGTCGACGACGGCGGCGTCGAAAAGTCCCCGGCCAAAAGTCGTCAACATTGCCCCAAAACGATGGGTTGCAGTACGAGGAGCTCGCGCAACATAATCTCGTTGAGCTGCCACCCCATACTATTTATTACCCCTTGGAGTGGGGCTGCCATCACCAGCCCTTCTTGCCCCGCCCTGCGCGGCGCCGCACCGCCGCGTTTCCGGCCGCTTTGAGCCGCGCCGAGCGCGATGCCGGAGCCGGGCACGCCCACGTCGCCGGCGAACGGCGCCACGCCCAGCGGGGCCAAGGAGAAGTACGTGACCGTGCGCATCCACAACCGCAAGGTGCGCCGCCCGTTGCGCGCCCCGCCGCCCGCCGAGCCGCGCCCCCGCAGTCGGGCGACATCGCGTCCGTGCGCGTCGTCAAGGGCACGCCCATCGCCGAGGTCATGGACCAGTACGCGAAGCAGAACAACATCACGAAATCGCGCATGTCCTACGAGCAGAGGCAAGAGGGCGGCGTCGACGACAACGACTGTGCCGCGTCCCACCGCCCCCGGCTTGCCGGGGCGGGCCAGCGTCCCTTGGTCGTGTCTCTCGGTGCGTTCCATGCGTCGTCCGCAGGTTCCTGTTCGTGCTACGACTCGCTCGGCGCGTAGCGCCGCGCGAGCGCGAGCGCGGGGCGCCGACGTCCGCTCCGCGCGGCCGTAGCCGGCGCGGCGCGTAGGGCTTAGTTAATGTGACGAAGAGGCGGCGCGCGAGGGAGCTCGGTTGAGCGCGAATCATTATCGGACGGCTCGTTGAAGCGTGCGCGGCGTAGCGGGGGCGCGCCGGGAGGGCAGCCCGCTTTCGTTGGGAGATGGACTCGGATGATGGCGCTAGCGCGCCGTCGTCGACGCCGAAGGAGAGCGCCGTCGTCTGGAGCGATGACGAGGACGACGACGAGCGGGCGGCGCGACCGCTGCACCAATGGCGACGGGTAGCGCCGCACGAAACCGTCGCGGACGTGTCGTCGGGACCCGAGGAGTACTGGGAGAAACAAAAAGCGAACGTCGGCGACCGGCGTCCGCTGAATCATAGCCGCAAAACAGCTCGTAATGCTAGGTGGCGGAGCTGGGCGCGGCCGTCGCGGAGCTCGCGGCGCTCGCGCGGAGCGCGAAGCCCGTCCCCGGCGCGAAACCTCCCGACGACGCGGACCGGCGGCTCGCGGCCGAGCTCCGGGAGCTCGAGAGCGCGCGGCCCGCGTCTTGTACCCACGATGCTGGCGGAGCCGCCCGGGTCCTAGGTACGCACGCCGACGCGCTCGCGTCCCTCGAGGCGAAGCGGCGGCTCGCGCTGGCCGCGCGCGGCGAGGCCGACGACGCCGCCGTCGACGACGACGACGACGATAGTTGGTCGAAGTTCATGTAATACGTGTGTTTAGGGTTTGGGCTTCTTGCCGACGAACTTCTTCCCCGCGTCCGGGTTGGCCTTGCGCTTCTTCTTTTTCGCGTCCGTGGCCTTCTTCGCCTTGGCCGCGTCGGCGTCGCCGGCCTTCTTGCCCTGCCAGGGCTTGGGCGCGGCGGCGGCCTTGCCCTTGGGCCGCGGCGCGGCGGCGCCCGCCCCCGCCTTGGCCGCGCGGCTCGCGGCGCGGAGCGCCTTCTTCTCGAGGCGCCGCTTCGCGCCGCGGTCGGACGGCGCGGCCTTGGCGGGCTTCTGCGAGCGCTCCTCGGGCGCCAGGCTCGCCTTCGTGCGCTTGCCGCAGGTCTTGACGCGCAGGGGCCGCTTCTTCGCCGCGGGCCGCTCCGCGTAGAGCGCGCCGTCGAGCTCGAGCGCGGCGCCGAGCGTCGCCTTGTCGCGGAGCATGACGTAGGCGACGCCGATGCAGAGGTGGTCCTCCTTGCGGCGCACGACGCGCACGTTGTCGATGGCGCCGTGGCCGCCGAGCTCCGCGAGGTGCGCCGCGAAGAGCGACCGGAGGCCCTCCTCGGTCAGATCGCGCGGCGCGTTGCCCACGAAGGCCGTGCGCAGGTGCGCGTCGTCGTCGCGCGCGCCCGACGCGAGGTCCACGCGCAGGTGGAACACCTCGGGCGCCTCCCCGGCGACGTAGGCCGCGGCCTCGGCGCCCGCGGCGCCCGCGGCCGGCCCGGGCCAGACGGCGCCGTTCGCCGCGCGCGCGGCCTCGGCCGCGGCGTCCGCCGTCTCGAAGACGACGTAGGCGTGCATCGTGCGCTTCGCGTCGCTGAGCAGGTGCTTCTGGGCGCAGACGCGCTTCACGAGCGCGTCGTTGCCCGCGTCGTCGACCTTGACGCCGGCCGTCGGCAGCGACCGCGTCCGCACCGTCGCGACGGCGCCGAAGGTCTTGAAGAAGGTCCGCAGCTGCTTCTTCGTGGCCTCCGTGGGCACGTTGCCCACGAAGACCGTGCGGTCCTCGTCCTCGCGCGCGGGCGCCGCGGCCGCGGCGGGCTTCGGCGCCTTCGGCTTCGGCGCCGCCGCCGCGGGCTTCGCCGGCGCCGGCGCCTTGGCCTTCTTCGGCGCCGCGTTCACGCGCGCCGCGAGCTCCGCCGTCGCCGTCACGAAGCCGTCGTCGTCGGGCCGCCGCCGCTTCTTGCCCTTGGCCAGCACGCGGTCCACGGCATCGTCGTAGCCCTTCTTCGACGCCGCCTTGGCGGGCGCGGCCTTGGCGGCGCGCGCCGGCGCGCCGCCGCCGGAGAAGAGGGCCGAGGCGCTGCCGCTGGACTTGGCCGGCGCGAAGGTCTCACCGAGGCCGAAGCTCGACATCGGGCGATGAGCTCTGTTGATTGCAGTGGTATTGCCCTTCACGGTGCCGCAGTAGTTATTGGTTTGCGTCAACGCTTTAGCGAAACGGATCGAGCAATTATCGTCCATATCTACATCGACGCTCGTCTCTCGCATCATACTGGAGGACATGGGCGACGCTGCCGGCGTCAGCGTCTGAGGCGGCGCCCCGGCGACCCGAGCCTGCCCGCGCTTCGAGGCAGCCCCGCCGCTCCATGCGCCTGGACGCCATGGCCGACGACACCCTCATCGACGACGCGGCCCTGGCCTTCGACGCCGTGAGCTTCATCCCGCCCTACAACGAGTTCACGGGGGAGCCGCAAGCGACGGCGCCGCCCTTCGTCCCGAGCTACGAGAAGGCGAATGCCCGGCCGCCCGAGGACGGCGTGCCCCCCATCGACGTCCGCCACTTCAAGACGCGGCTCTGCGTCTACCTCGCGTCCGGATCCTGCCCGCACGGCGCGCGCTGCTTCTTCGCCCACTCCGTGCGCCGCCCCGGGGTCTTTTGTTTCTCCCCCCCCAAATTCGCGAAACACGACCCCCGCCCCCGCCCCCCGCCCAGGTCGACGAGCTCCGGCCGCCGTCCACGCACGCGGCCGCCGAGTACAAGACGCGGCCGTGCCGCTACGCGCTCAGCGAGTGCCCCTTCGCCGCCGCGGGCCGCTGCCAGTTCGCCCACGGCGTCGACGAGTTGCGGAGCCCGCCGGCGACCCTGGCGTCGCCCGAGCGCATGCTCAGCGCGCGCCGCTTCAAGACGCGGCTCTGCAAGTACTTCCTCGCGGGCCACTGCCCCTACGCGGCGACGAACACGTGCCAGTTCGCCCACAGCAACGACGAGCTCCGGGCGCCGTTGGACGGGGGCAACGGCGCGGGCCCGGGCGTCTACCCGCCCGCGGCGAACGCCGCCGCGCCGGCCTTCTCGGGCGGCCTCGGCGACGCGGCGCAGGCGCCGCCGCAGGCGTGGCCGCCCGCCGCGCCGGGCCAGGCGCCGCCGGCGGCCGCGCGCGCGAACCGCATCACGCCGCCGCCGGCCTTCCAGCCCCTGGGGGCCTTCCCGCCGGCGAACAACGCCGCGCCCGTGCTCGTCGCCGCGGGCGTGCTCGGCGGCGCCGCGCCGCCGGGCAGCGACGCGGCCGCCGCGTCCGCGGCCGCGTCGGGCGCCGCGCTCCGCGCCGCGCTGGAGCAGAAGCGGTTCACGAAGCTCTGCAAGTACTTCCTCGCGGGCCACTGCCCCTTCGAGGCCAGCGGCACGTGCCAGTTCGCGCACAGCGCGCGCGAGCTCCGGAAGCGGTCGCCGCCGCGCGCGTCCCAGAGCGCCCTACCGACGTCGCTGCCCCCCGGCAACGACGGCCGCCGCGGCGCGCCCCACGCGCGCGGGTCCCGGAGCCCGCCGCGGCCGCCCCAGGAGCAGCCGGCCATGAACCGGAGCCAGAGCCGAGCGGCGCAGCGCCAGGCGCGGAACTCGCGGAGCCCGCCGCGGCCGCCGCCCGCGGCCGCGCCGGGCCAGCTCGGGTCCGTGCCGGGCCTCGGGTCCGTGCCGGGCCAGCTCGCCGGCCTCGGGTCCGTGCCGGGCCAGCTCGGCTCGCCCTTCGGCGGGTCCCTCGACGCGTACCGGCCCGCGGCGCCGGGCGCGGCGCCGGCCGCGCCGGCGGCCGCGTCGACGGCGCTCTACGCGGCGGCGCCGCGGTCGCGGCACCTCGTGAGCCCGGGCCCCATCGTCGCGCCCGCGCCCTTCACCTACCAGGAGTGGGCCGCGGTGCCGCCGGGCACGCAGTACGTGAACCGCGTGTCGTCGGACGACAACCCGGCGCAGGATTTGCGCGCGGACCCCTGGACGCGCCACGCGGCCCTCGAGGCGCGCCGCGGCGGCGCGCCCCACGGCGGGCCGCGCCGCATCGAGCCCCACAGCCCGACGTCGCCCTTCTCCGGCGCCTACAACCGGCCCGTCGACGGCGTGCCCTTCTTCGCGGACGGCCCGCCGCTCGGGGGCCGCGCGGTCGGCGCGCCCGACTGGAGCTTCAACGGCGAGGCCGCCACGTCGCCCTGAGACAGTCTTGTTCCCCGCCACCACATACATCCGCCGTCGCTCGGAAAGAAAAAACATCCGCCCCCCCACTGACCCCAAACACACACGGAAGACTCACCTCGGCCACCGCGGCCGCCGCACCTTCATCATGCATCCACCGCCACCATGTTTGTCTGTCCCACATACCTCCGCACATGTCCCCGCACACGACCCCAACCTCGGTAAAGTTGTATGTTTCGAGGCGCTGCCCGGGGGTGGGTGTTTCGAATTCGAATTCGGCCGGGCGGCGCCACGAGCAGCGGCGCCACGAGCGACGCCGCCGCGGCAGAAGAAGAAGCGTCTTGTGCAAGTGTTAAAGGGCGGCCGCGGAGCGGCCGCCGGGGGAAACCAAAAGGGCGGGGGAGCGGGGAGGAAAACGGGGGCCGCGCTCGCGCGCGCGCCGCGGCGCGCCGGCTCAGATGGGCGCGATGCGGACGGAGGCGAGGCCGTTGTAGGCGCGCTGGCGGATCCAGATCTGGGAGACCCACTTGGGGTCGACCGCGGGCTCGGCCGCGTGGAGGTAGTTCTGGTCGAGGACGCCGTCGAGCGTCGCGGGGAAGAAGATGAGGGCGTTGCCCTTGCGGGGCTTGATGCGGACGCCGAGCTTGGAGAAGGACGTCTCGCCGCCGCGCTCGACGTCGTTGAGGTAGACCAGGACGGTGGCGACGCGCTGGCCGCCGTTCTGCGCGAAGCGGCGCCCGTCGGCCGACGACGTGTCGAAGGCGTCGTAGTGGGGCTTGTAGAACTCGCCGCCGCGGTAGCGGCCCACCTGGGGCAGCTCCAGGTGCTCCAGCGGCTTGCCCGTCAAGGCGCAGACCTTGGTGCAGACGGACGGCAGGTCCTCGCGCGCGAGGTAGCACGTGCTGCTCGTCCGCGACACGCTCACCTCGCCGTTGCCCGGCCCGACGACGGGCGCCGGCGTCATGTGGTCCTTGGCGCTGTCGATGAGGGCCTAATGGTTCGATGTGATTTTGGAGGCTGCTGGGGTTTCGTGGTTTCCGGACGCGGAAGCGCGGACGTCGCACTCCTCCTCGGTTAAAAAGTTCTGGACCGTGTAGATCGGCGGGTTCACGCTCACGGCCGCCTGCGCGCGCGCGCGTGAGAGCAGTTTTTCTGTAGGCGGCGCCGCGGCGCGCGATGCCCGAGAAGACGGGGTTGAGCGGCAAATGCTCATCGACCGTCGGCTGGTCGAAGCTGTCGGCCCCGTTGGCGGACAGCGGCGAGCGCTTCGCTTTCTTCGCGCTGTCGCTCATGATCGGCCGAAGCCCTCGCCACCGCGCGTGCCTCGCGGCCGCCCTTATTTTATTTAAGGAGCAGCTATCGGCTGCGCGATATCGATGCTGGTGCGGGCTCGGCATTTTTGGCTGAGGAAGTCGATGGCAAGGCCAGCGATGCGTGTCGCGGTGATGTTGCTGCGACGGTGCCGCGCTGGGCCTGCGGCAAAGCGGGAAGTCCAGCCACACGCTGGTGAAGAGGTCCACTCACAAGCACGATGCTCATCATACCAACGGTCCACCTCGTCTACGCGCCCGTCGTGGCCCTCGCCGCCGTCTTCGCCCACGTGACCCACAAAAAGGGCCCCTCCTCGGGTCGCGGCGTCGGCTCCCTCGACGTCGCGCGGCTGGCGTTCGCCGTCGCGGCGCTGATCGTCCGCGTCGCGTCCGTCGTCTGCTTCCCGCGCGGCGACGGCGTCGCCGCGGCCTTTGGCGGCGGCGGCGCCAGGGCCGCGTGGCTCGCGCGCGGCGTCGCGGCGGCGGGCGCGTGCGCGCTGTGCGGCCTCCTCGGCTTCGACGAGGCGCGGCGCGGCCTGCGCGAGGCCACGGCCACGCGCCTCGCCTGGCTGGCCGTCGCCTCCTCCGCGATCTGGGAGGCCGCCGTCTTCCGCGGGACGCCGGCGGCCGCGCGGTACGTGGCCGTCGCCTACGCGGCGGCGGCGTTCGTCGGATTCGCGCTCTACGCGCTGGTCAACGCGGGCGCGCGGCGCGGCGCGCCGCGCGGCAAGCTCGCGACGACGGACTACGCGCTCCTGGAGGATTCGGACGGGGAGGAGGACGTCGAGTCGCCGGAGGACGCCGCGGGCTTCCTCTCCGCGATCTCGTTCGCGTGGATGAGCCCGCTGCTCGCGACGGGCTACGAGCGGCCCCTGGAGAGCGACGACCTCTTCCCGCTGACGCGCGACGACGACCCGGCGCGCGTCGCCGGGAAGCTGCGCGCCGAGCTCGCGAAGAGAGGGGGCACGGAGCAGCCCAGGGTGCCGCTGCTCGGCGCCTTGTGCGGCGCGTTCGGCCCCTACTTCCTGGGCGGCGGCGTCTTCAAGCTCGTCTACGACACGACGCAGCTCGCCGTGCCCGTGCTCCTGTCGCGGCTGCTCAAGGCGCTGGCCGACGACCACGCGCTCGCGTACCGGCTCGCGGCCGCGCTGACGATCAACGCCGTCGTCGCGACGGCGTTCCTGCACCAGTACTTCCAGCGCACGTACCGCACGGGCATGCGCCTGAAGTCCGCGGCGATCTCCCTGGTCTTCGACAAGGCGCTCGTCGCGCGGACCGCGGGCGCGGAGGACGAGGGCGCGCTCGTGACGAATTTGATGTCCGTCGACGCGCAGCGCCTCCAGGACAACATGACCTACATGTTCACCATCGTGTCCGGCGTCTACCAGATCGTCGCGACGCTCTACCTGCTCTACGGCCAGCTCGGCCCGGCGTCCTTCGGCGGACTCGCGGTCATGCTCATCTTCATGCCCGTGACGCAGCGCATCGTGCTCGTGACGCGGGACTACCAGAAGGTCGTCCTCGAGTACAAGGACCGGCGCATCAAGCTCCAGTCCGAGGCCCTGGCGGGCATGAAGATCGTGAAGCTGTACGGCTGGGAGCCGCCGCTGGGCGAGGAGCTCGACCGGCTCCGCGAGCTCGAGCTCGCGGCGCTGTGGAAGTACAAGCTCGCGGGCATCGTGAGCCGCTGCGTGTTTTCCGTCGTGCCCACGGTCGTCGCCGTCGCGACCTTCACGTTGTACGTGCTGACGGGCAACGAGCTCGACGTCGCGCGCGTCTACACGACGCTCGCGCTGTTCAACGTGCTCCGCTTCCCGCTCATGATGGTGCCCCGGGCCATCGGGTCCGCCGTCGAGGCGGGCCTGTCGGTCGAGCGCCTGGGGACCTTCCTCGGCGCCCCCGAGGTCGTGCCGCTGCCGCCCGTCGACGGCGCGTCGAACCCGCTCCGGGACGCGTCCGCGGCCGTCTGGGCCCGCGGGGCCGACGTCGACTGGCCCGGGGCCGCCGCGACGCCCTTGCTCCGCGGCGTGGACCTCGAGGTGCCCCGCGGCGCGCTCTGCGCCGTCGTGGGGGAGACGGGCGCGGGCAAGTCGGGCCTGCTCGCGTCGCTCCTCGGCGAGACCGTCTGCGCGCGCGGGTCCCTGGGCGTCGAGGGGTCCGTGGCCTACGCGGCGCAGTCGGCGTGGATCCAGAACGCGACGCTCCGCGCCAACGTGCTCTTCGGCCAGCCCATGGACCGCGCGCGCTACGACGAGGCGATCCGCCGGTGCTCGCTGACGGCGGATTTGGCCGCGCTCGCGGACGGCGATCTGACGGAGATCGGCGAGAAGGGGCTGACCCTGAGCGGCGGCCAGAAGCAGCGCGTCGCCCTCGCGCGGGCCTTCTACGCGGACGCGGACGTCTACCTGCTCGACGACTGCTTGAGCGCCGTCGACGCGCACGTCGCCGCGGCTTTGTTCGACGACCTCGTGCTGCACCTGCGCGACCAGCTGCGCCGCACGGTCGTCCTCGTGACGCACAACCTGTCGACGCTGCGCAAGTGCGACGCCGTCGTGTGCCTCGGCGCGGGCTCGAGAACGGTGGACTACGCGGGCCCGCCGGAGGGCTTCCTCGACCTCGGCCGCGCGGACCCGGAGCGCTACCCGCTCGCGGCCATCGCCGCGCGGCAGAAGCGGTCGACGAGCGGCGAACACCTCAGCGCCCTCGCGGGCGACGAGGCCGAGGCCAAGGAGCAGGACAAGGCCACGACGCTGGACGCGGAGAAGAAGCCGCCGCGCGCGACCGCGGCGGAGCAGCGCGAGAAGGGCACGATCTCCGCGGCGACGCGCCGCACCTACCTTATGGCCACGGGCGGGTCGGCCATGGCGTTGTTGGTGGTCTGCGCGCAGGTCGTCTACCAGGCGTCGCAGGTCGTAGGATCCTGGTGGCTCGGCTACTGGGCCGCGCGGCCCCAGCTCGGCTCGGCTCTCGGTCTGGAGGTCTACGTCGGTTTGTCGGCCGTCGCCGTCGCGCTGTCCGTCGTCGCCTACTACGTCGCGTCGCTGCTGGGCCAGCGCGCCGCGCGGAAGCTCCACGCGTCGCTGTTGTCGGGGCTTTTGAAGGCGCCCATGGCCTTCTTCGACGGCACGCCCACGGGGCGCCTCGTGAATCTGTTCTCCAAGGATCTCTACACCATCGACGAGGAACTGCCCGTGACCATCGCCATGTGGCTCATGGTCGCGACGAGTTGCGTCGCGACGATGGCGACGATCGCGTTCGCCACTCCGTGGTTCCTCGCGGTCTGCCTGCCGCTGGGCGTCGTCTACTTCGGGACCATGAAATATTTTATTCCCTCGGTCCGCGAGCTCAAGCGGTTGGATGCGACGTCCCGGTCGCCGGTCTTCGTGGCCTTCGGCGAAGCTCTGGACGGCGCGTCGACGATCCGCGCGTTCCGCGCCGAAAAGCGCTTCGCGGCGGACCAGGGCGCGAAGCTGCGCAAGAACTTACGGGCCTACTTCCTCGGCACGGCCTGCAACCGCTGGCTCGCGGTACGTTTGGAGGCCATCGGGACGCTGACGACCGGCGCGGCGGCGTTTCTGGCCGTTGCGACGGACGCGAAGCCCTATCTGGCGGGCCTGTCGCTGACCTACGCGCTGAGCGTGACCCAGTCCCTCAATTGGTTCGTGCGCACGAACGCGGACCTCGAGAACAACTCCGTCGCCGTGGAGCGCGTCGTCAACTGCGCCGACACGGCGCCGGAGGCCGACGGCCACGCGGGCCCGCCCGACGGCTGGCCCTCGAAGGGCGACGTGACCGTGACGAACCTGCAGCTGCGCTACCGGCCCGAGCTGCCCCTCGTGCTCAAGGGCCTGAACTTCGCCGTGGACGGCGGCACGAAGCTCGCGCTCGTGGGCCGCACGGGCTCCGGCAAGTCGTCGTTCCTCCTCGCGCTCCTCCGCCTCGCGCCGCCCGCGCCGGGCTCGAAGCTCGTCCTCGACGGCGTCGACGTGCTCAGCGTCAAGCTCGCGGACCTGCGCACGCGCGTGTCCATGATCCCCCAGGACCCCGTGCTCTTCTCGGGCACGGTCCGCTTCAACGTCGACCCGTTCGCGGCCGCGGCGGACGGCGACGTCCGCGACGCGCTCCGCGACGCGCGCCTCGACGACAAGCTCGCGGGCGACGACCCCCTGGGGGCGCCCGTCGAGGAGGGCGGCCGCAACTTCTCCCTCGGCGAGCGCCAGCTCCTCTGCCTCGCGCGCGCGTGCCTCCGGAAGTCGAAGCTGTTGCTCCTCGACGAGGCGACGTCCGCGGTCGACGAGGCCCTCGACGAGGCCGTCCAGCTCGCCATCCGCGCCAACTTCAAGCACTCGACGGTCATCTGCATCGCCCACCGCATCAACACCATCGCGGACTACGACCGCGTCCTCGTCCTCGACGACGGCAACGTCGTCGAGGACGGCGCGCCGGCCGCGCTCATGGCCGACCCGGCGTCCAAGTTCGCCCAGCTCGCCGCCGCCCACGACGAGGGCGTCTAGAGGGTTTGGGGGCGTGCGTTTAATGGGACCCCTCGTACGGGGGGTGACACCGGCCTCAAACTCGGCCCAGCAGGCCCAGGAACGTCGCCAAATCACTGCATAGGCTGATGTGAGCGCCCTGAGCGCGTAAATGGACTTGTGGGGACGTCTGGCGACGCGGTCGGAGCGCTCGGAGGCGTCGAAAATCGACAAAATCGATATAATGCAAGCATTTCATTGGTCGGATTCGAATCCGCCGGCATCCAGCAGCCCCGGAGCGCCTCGAGGGGCAGCCCGGCTCGTCGCGCGTGGCCATGGAGCGCGACGCCTGGAGTCAGGGTGGCGGCGGTGGACACCTCGTACCCATGGGTGACTCCGGAGGTGCTCTGCTCGCGGGAATTGGCTGTGTCGACGAACGCTTGGGCGCCGGAGCGGCGATTCCCAGTGGCGGCACAGCTTCGAGCGCCTCTGTGGCAGCCCCAGGGTGGCACCACGCGCAGCCGAGCGGCGAGTACCACGCTCTAGTATGTCGGCGAACACAGCGCCGCGCCATGGACCGCGCCGTGACCGGAGCCATTCGCGCGGCGGCCTCGAACGACTTGCATGGCGCACAGCGTCATCGAGTGTACCTGGTTGGCCAAGGGGCTGCTCACGTTAGTGTTGGGGCCTCCAGGCAGGTCGAACGGACCCATGGACCAGATCGGACGCAAGAACGCGACCGCCAAGGTCGAGATGCGCATCACAGATCGATTCGAGCACACCGCGGCCACTGCGCGCGCGCGCGGTCGCCATCGCTGCCCGGACTTCCACCAAGACCTAGGCCCCCGGCCCTTTTCCCACGCGCGACGGGTCGGGTAAGTAGCGCCCTCGTCAATTTGGCGGGGTTAAGGCCACCATGCTCGCGCGCTTGGACGGCGTCGCGGTCTGGTGTCGCCCCCCGTCCCCTCGTGCGTTTTCGGGACGTGCGTTTTCGGGCCGATGCTTGCTTGCTCGGTGGCCGCCTAGTCCGAGTCCGAGGCGGAGCCCCAGTCGTCGTCGGACTCGTCGAAGATGTCGTACTGGCCGCCCTCGTCGAGCGGCCCGAGGTCGCCGCGCTTCAACATGCCGCGGCCCACGGCGACGCCGACCATGAAGACGACCTCCTTCTCCTCGTGGTCGTTGTCGGATTTGGTCACGTCCTTGACCTTGCCGCCCTTGACGAGGATGCCCGTGCGGCCCTTCTTCTCGAGCTTGGCCAGCTTCTTCTTGGCGACCTTCTTCTTGTCGTAGTCGTCGAGGCGGATGCCGCCCGCGTCCTTCTCGACCTTGATGATGACCCACTTGTCGTCGTCCTCCTCGTCGTCGGACGCGTCGCTGTCGATGTCGTCCTACGAAACACACGCTCACATCACGAAACGGCCGCGAAACGCGGACGCGGGCGTCGCGCCTCCTCGTGGTCGTCGCGGAAGATGGCGAGGTCGCTGCCGGGGTCGTCGAGGGGGCCGAGGTTGCACTCGTCCTTGCCGTAGGCGACGCCGATGAGGAAGATGACGAGGCGGTCGCGGCCCTTCCACCGCTTCACCTGCCCGTTCCGCGTCCAGACGACGGCCTTGTTCGCGCGCTTGTACTTCTTCTTGGCCTTCTTGCGGCTCTTCTTCTTGTCGCCGAAGTTCTTCGTCCGCAGCAGGTCGCCGTCGCGGTCGATGGAGTGCAGGCAGATGTCGCCGTCATCGTCGGAGTCGCTGTCGCTGCCCATGATGCGCAGCAGGTGTGTGGTTGGCAGCCCGACGTCGGAACGCGCACAAAAAATCTTTTGCACGAGCATTCTGGGTGTGCAACACTAGTCTAAGGTAACTTTGGCTTTGTGAAGTTCTCTCCAAGCTTAGATCCGCCATCGCGGCCGCTCCCCGAGCTTCTGTTGGGCGGCCTCGCGCCGCGCCTGCTCTGGCGTCGGGCGGCGGGCCGCGGGGGGCCTTCGCCGCGGGGCGGACGCGGGGCGCGCGGTCGCACGCGCGGACGCCGGGCTTGCGGCCGGCCGCGCGGACGCGGGCCGCCGCCACGGCTCGGCTCTCGCTTTTGCCTTGAGGCGGAGGTCCGCGCGGTGCGCCGAGCGCTCCGATGAGGTCCGGAAGCGCTTTCCCGACTCCGCGCAGACGAACGGCCTCTCGGCGACATACGCGAAACGGTCTCGCACCTCCGCGAGGCGCGAGCGGACGACCGTGTAGCGACGAGACGTCTGAGGGTTTGAAATGTGGGGGTCTTGCATGTCCATCATCGCGTCGATCCAAACGACAAGCGCGGCGCCCGCCGACGATTTTCGCCTCATGTCCTCGACGTTGAACCAGGGTTCGGCGCAGATGTCCTCGACGGCGGAGAAAACTTCCTCGGCGACGGGAAACGCCAGCCAGTGCTTAAGGCCATCGTCTTCTGACCGGTAGCCGCACGCGGCCGCGCTCGCGGCCCGCAGCGCCGCGACGAGAGCGCGCGCGCCGCCGGCCTTCCTGATGAGTGTCACGCACGCCGGCCAGGAATTCGGTTTGTTTCGGACGAGCAGTTCCCAATTGGATGTTGGGGTCGGGCGGCAAACACCAGAAAGCAGGACCGCGGCGCTGAAGACCGGGCCGATGCCGTGCGGCAGGCGCTTCATGGGCAGAACCTCCGCGATCGCGGGGGTTTCGAGGCCGTCGAGCGCCGCGGCGAGCCGGCGCGCGACCTCGGGACCGGCGCCGAGCACGGCGCCGAGCGCGGCCTCGTTGGCCGCGAGGCGATCTGGCAGGTGGCGCAGGGCACCGCCGAAGGCCGCCCGCCAGGCGCGACCCACGCGCACGAGAGCCCAGAGGGCCCGCCAATCCTGGTCGTCGACGAAGCCCGGGCATGGGAATGACCAGCCCCCCGCGAAGGCGGTGCAGACGAGCGCGGACCGCGCATCGGCTGGTGCAGATCGAAATGCATCGGGCTGCTCGGCCATCATCGTCGGGAGTTTCGATCAACCAGTTGGGATCAACAATTGATCAACGAATACTTCACACAAAAGAAGAAGCGCAATGGGCAGCCTGCTCGTCGCCCTCTCAGTGCTAGGCGCCACCATAGCCGACGAATGCTACACGCAGAGCTGGGAGGCGTGCTCCTGCGACGCGCTGGAATGCGCCAACAGCGAAGCGTGTCTGGCGCCGTGCAACGAAAAGCAGGAGAGCCCAGCCTGCCGCGCGCTCAGCAAGAACTGCGACCAATACGACAACCTCGTGTGCGGTTCGTGGTGCACGGACCAGCGCGGCGGCAACGTGACCTGCTCGTCCTGCCGCGCGGAGGAGTGCGAGCCCTACTGCCACGGCGATCCGAGCGTCTGTAAGTTCGACCTCTGCCCCGTGAACGCGGCGGCCTGCGGCGACGGCTGGGCCTTCGCCTGCCAGAACTTCTCGGCCATCGCGCCGGAGGACACGAAGCGGGCGCTCGCCGACCCCGCGACGCAGCGCTTCACGCCCGCGTCCATCGCGGGCGCGCTCGAAACGTGGAACGCGCGCATGCGCGCGAGCGGCGCGGACTGCGACTGTTCGGCGTACGACGGCGGCGAGCACGCCGAGCCCTTCTGCAAGAAGTCGGACCTCTGCGCCGCCGTCGAAGGCATCCTCGACCCGACGCCGCCGAAACGCAGCGAGTCGGCGTGGGACGGGCGGTGCTGCGCCTACTGCGTGCTCGCGTCGGAGCGGGGCGTGTGCGGTCTCTGGAGTCCGACAAGCCACTACGGCCACATCCTCGAGCGGGTCCTGCCGCTGCTCTCGGAGCTCTAAAGGAGATTACGCCGCGGGTTCCGCGGGCTCCTCCTCGCCGTAGAGGAGCTTGAGGGCCGGGAGGAGCGTCGGCGCCCAGGCGAGCTGCGGGAAGGACACGTGCATGAGGTCCGACGCCAGGACGACGCTCGCGAGGCGCCGCCGGTCGCCGTCGTCGCCGGACTCGACGTAGGGGATCGACGGGTAGCGCTGGGAGAAGTGCGTGAGCACCGTGCGCGCCGCGCCCGCGTCCGCGCCGACGGCGACGGCCTCGGAGATCGTCGAGTGGCGCTTCGCGCGCGCGTCCTCCCAGAACTCGTCCTCGAAGGTCGCCTCGTGGACGAGGACCGTCGCGCCGCGCGCGGCCGCCGCGAGCTCGCGCGACGGCCGGCAGTCGCCGCTGTACGCGAGCGACCAGCCGTCCGCCGACCGGACGACGAGGCCGTACGACTGCGCGCAGTGGACGACGGGCACGCAGAAGCAGGCCTCGAGCCCCAGCGTCTCCCGGAGCGTCGCCGCCGCGGGGTTCGGCGCGCGCTCGCCCATCCACTGGCACTCGACGGGCTCGTACGTGCCCCGGACGTCCGCAAACGCGCGCCCGTAGTCCGCCAAGAACCGGAGCACGGGCCAGGGCGCCATGAGCGCCACGGGCGGCGCCGCGAGCCGCCGCCGCGCGGCGAGGAGCGCGGGCAGGCCGAGGTGGTGGTCCGCGTGCGGGTGCGACACCCAGATCGCGCCGAGGCCCGCGAGCACGGCGTCCGTGGCTCCGCCGTAGACCTTGTGGAGCTGGCCGAGCGTGCCCTCGCCGCAGTCGAGGAGCAGCCCCGCGCCGGGCTCGCGCGGCGCCGGGAGCGGCGCCGGCGTCGCGGTGCCCGGCGCGTTGCGGCAGCGCAGGTAGATGCCGCTCACGTTGCGGTGCTTCGAGGGGATCGCCGACCCCGTTCCCAAAAACACGAGCTCCGCGTCCCGCGCGTCCCGCAGCGCGTCCGGCGGCGCCGCCGCCCGCGCGGCGGCGATGTTGGCCGCGGCCTCCAGCACGCCCCGCGCCACGGCCGCGTCCCAGTCGCCCGCGTCCGCGGCCTCCGGCGCCGGCACCTCGGACGCGTCCAAACCCCGGCCGTCGCGCGGCACGAGGACGTACTTGAGCAGGGGCCGGCCGTCGACGACGCGGCCCTCCACCCGTAAACCCGCGCCGCCGGCGCCGCCGGGCTCGGCGTAGCAGGCCGGCTCGAGGCGCCGCAGGAGCCGCGCGTCGCGGCGCTGCGTCGCGTACGGCGACGGCAGCGTCGCGTGCGCCGCGACGTGCGCGACGCCCGCCGGGAAGGACGCGAGGAACGACGCGTAGGCCGCCGTCGTCGCCACGGCCGGCGGCGTCAGGTGGAAGGCGCAGTCGAGGGCCGCGGCGCCGCGCAAGAAGGGCGCGATCGCCGCGTGGGCCGCGAGTTTCGCGACCGCGGCCGCGGACGCGCAGTGGACCACGAGGAAGCAGGCGCCCTCCTTCGACTCGGCGACGACCTGGGACGGCTCGACGGCGCGGCCGTCCGCGAGCGTCACCGTCTCGCCGCGCTTGAGCGCGCCGAAGAGCGGCCCTGGCGGCACGCCGAGCGCCGCGGCCTTTTTCACGTCGAACTTGCCGAGGACCCGCGGCGTCCGGCAGACGTAGGACGCGCTCACCAGCGGCGGCGTGCTTTGTGGCGCGGCGGGCGCGGCGTCCGGGGGCGCGTCGGACGCGGCGTCCGGGGGCGCGTCGGATTTCGCGCGCTTCGCCGCGGGCGGCGCCGCGCCGTCGTCGTCGACCGCGTTTTCGCCGTCGACGGCCGCGCCGTCGCCGCCGCCGTCGCCGTCGCTCTCGATGACGACGGCCTCGACGGACACGAGGCGGTCGCCGCCCGCGGCGCCGAGGCACGGCGCGGCCGCGGCGGACGGCGCCGCCTCCTCGACGGCCACCGAGAGATCGTCGCGGCGCATGAAGTGGCGCGTCGAGGCGAGGACGGCCTGGAGGCCCGTGGGCCCGCAGAGCCGCAGGGACTTCAAGCCCGCGTCGGCCGCCGTGAGCATGTAGCCCGGCAGCCCGCCGACGGCGCTCGGCGACAGGTCCGTCACGCAGAGCGTACTCACGCGCGCGACCTTGACGCCGTGCTCGACGCAGAGCCGCTGCCAGCCCTCGGGCGCGTTGAAGACGAGGCGCTCCGCGTCCGCGACGACGAGCAGCGACGGCGCGCTGTCGCCCGTCCACGTCGACAGCAGCTGCACGGACGTCGGCCGCGAGTCCATGCAGCGCGACCCGTCGGCCTGCGTCCGCGGGCCGCCGTCGCGGCCCCGGCCTTTCTTCTTGCCCATTGCTGCGACGACAGCGGTCGAGTGCAATCAATCGAGGAGATGGCAGCGCTCGGCAGTGCGACTGAGCAGGCGCATCGCTTTGGCAAGGCGTTCAACAGCGGCTTCACCAATTCTTCACCTTGCCCCTCTCAGCCCCGGGGTCGACGATGGTCAGCCCGCGGGAACAATCGTTCATCAATCAAACTGTGAGCTATCACGCTTCGAGCGGCGACCTCGACGCGCTCGTTGTAGTGTCATTCGCCGCCCCCAATGCTGTGCACATCGAGCCTGGTTTATCTGGAGCGACGCGGGTGTATACTGCTGCTCAGTTTGGTTGGTGCTCGGCCATGAAATATCTCATCGAACGCGGCGCCGACGTAACTTTGGGTCTGCCTGACAACAGCAATACGCCACTGCACATGGCCGCTTATTTCGGCCACCATGACGCAGCAGGCCTGCTGCTCGACGCAGGCGCGCGAGTCGACGATTGCAACATGGTGAGCCAGACCGCGCTCCACTTCGCAGCCGTGGAAAATAATCCCAAGATGTGCAAGCTTCTCCTGAGTCGCGGCGCGTCGCTCGACGCGCGCAACAACGACGGCGACGATCCCGAGTCCCAAGCGCGAGTCTACAACTACACGACCGCGGCCGACTTCCTCGCCGCCGTCCGCGCCGCGGGCGGCTGGCTGCCGTGGCTCAACGCGCCGCGCAAGGAACTCATCGCCCTCCGCCGGCGGCTCCCGGCCCTCCGCGACCGCGGCCGCGCGGCGCCGGCGTCGAGCGTGCGCGCGCACGAGCGGCTCTTCCTGAAGACGCCCGACGACGTCTTCTCGCACGTCCTCGCCTTCTGGCGCAGCGACCGCGACGACTAAGAATATAGCTACAGACACCTTAGCACGCGCGGCCCTAAGCCGACGACGTCTTCTCGCACGTCCTCGCCTTCTGGCGCAGCGACCGCGACGACTAAGAAGGTAGCTACAGGCACCTTAGCACGCGCGGCTTACCTCCCCTTCATCATCTTCCGCTTCGGCTTCTTCTCCTTCTTGCCCTTGGCGTCGGCCGCGTCCTCCTCGGGCTCCGGCGGCGCCGCGGGCTTCGCGGGCCCGCCGAACTTCCAGGCGATGCCCTTGTAGGCCGCGAAGGCCGGCACGACGAGGAGCAGGTACCAGGCCTTGTCGCTGAGGGCGCCGAAGAACTGCGCGATCATCGTCAGCGCCATGACGTCGAAGAAGTACGACGCGAGCGAGTCCGTGGGCTGCGTCGACGCCTCGCAGGCCGTCGGGTAGGTCAGCGCGTAGACGACGGCGCAGCCGCCGAGCGCGACGTAGTGCGAGTTCGCCGCTTCCCCCCGGAAGTAGAGGCGCACGGCGACGTACCAGAGGTTCACGGCGGCCAGCACGGGGAGGTACAGCTTCTGCGCCGCGGCCTTTGCCTTGGCCGCCTTCTTCGCCGCCTGTCCGGCCATCGATGCGTGCGAGTCGAGGGTGCGTCGACGGCGTCGACAGTTGCGGTGCGTCGACGGCGTCGACAGTTGCGGGTGCGTCGACGGCGTCGACAGCTCGGGCAGCGAGCTCACGCGATTAGTTGGCCGGGTTTCAAAAAGACTTAGTCGGGGCGGGATCTTCGTGCGCACCCCTTCAATAACTAGTCCAACAAGTGGGCAAGTTCGACGGCTCGAGCAAGTTGCCCCCCGAGGCCAGCGCGCATGGGGCTGCCCCGAGCCCCCTAGCGCGCGATGCTGTGCCGCTACTCGCGGGCGCACCCGTACTTCGACGACGTGCCCGTCGTCGTCGTCGTCGAGGCGCCGGCGCCGCTCGTCTGGGACGCGTGCCTGGCGCCGCTCGAGGTCGGCGACGACCGGAACCGGCGCGAGCGCCGGGGCCGCTGGGCCGCGCCGGCGGAACCAAGCACGGCGCCGGCCATCGGCGCGCTCGGCGCCAAGCCGCGGCGGCGGCGGTCCTTCGACGCCGCCGCCGGCGCGGCGCCGGCGCTGCTCCACGAGCTCCGGTCGTTCTACGACCAGGCCTACCGGCTCAAGGTCGTCAAGGACCGGCTGCTCCACGAGATGCGCCACCGGGACTGGGGCATGGCCCAGCTCTTCGAGATCCTCGACGAGGACGGCGACGGCGAGCTCGACTGCGACGAGATCGGCGACGCGCTGCGGCGCTGCGGCGTGCCGCTGCGCGATCTCGAGCTCGAGGAGCTCTTCGAGACGCTCGACGCGGACGAGTCCGGCACGGTCGACGAGTCGGAGTTCTTCGACTGGCTCTACGGCCGCGGCGACGCCTGGCTCGCCGCGAAGCGCCGGTCCGACGACGACGACCCCTTCAACGACCGCCGCCTGCTCCGCCGCGACGCCGTCCGCTTCGAGGACGCGACGCGGCGGCGGCTCCACGCCTTCTGGCTGCTCGTGGACCGCGACGGCGACGGGGCCATCGACCGCGACGAGTACCTCGACCTCCACGTGCACCTCTACGCGGCCATGCACTTTGGCGGGGCCGAGCCGCCGGACCTCGCGGAGGCGCGGCGCGTCGCGGAGCGCGAGTGGGACTTCGACAGCCAGGGCCGCGACGGCCTGGACCACGACCTCTTCAACCTGTCGTTCTTCCAGCTCGTCGACGCCTGGCGCGCGGCCGCGGGCGACGCCGCGGCGTCCTTCGCGGACTACTGCTCTTTCCTGCTCGACCGCGTCGCCGTCGTCGTCGACGACGACCCGAGGCACGTGGACCTGCGCTGGCGCCACGACCCGGACGGCTGGCTCGGCGACCTGCCGCGCTTCCGGTCCCTGCGCAAGGCCATCGCGTCCGCCGTCCAAAAGGCCGACGCCATGCTCGGCGTGCTCGGCCTCGCGGACCCCGTCGACGGCGGCGACGCGTCCGACGGCGACACCGCGGCCCTCGTCGAGGACGCCGAGGAGCCGGCGGCGGCGGCGGCGCCCGCGCCGACGCCCGCGGTCTTCGACGACTCCGTCCTGTCGGGCGCGCGCTCGGCGAAGGTCCTCGACGACGCCAGGCCGGCGATCTTCGACGACTCGCTCGCGTCGCCGTCCCTCGCGTCGCCGTCCCTCGTTGTGTGGAATTCAAATCTTCAACCCGACTTCAATTTGATAGTATGCGACAGTTTCGACGCAATTTCTTCAGCTGGGCTTCGAGATCTCGACGAGAGCAATCGATTCGTCCAAAAATCAGCCGAATCGACTTCGATTTGACCGAGCTAGAGAATTCTGAAGTTTGGTCAGGACCACCCAAACCAGTGGTTGAATTCCACACAGGTCCCTCGTGCCGAGCCTCATGCAGAGCCTCGTCGACCCCTTCGCGGGCGACGACCGCTTGCCGCCGTGCCTGGACTCGCTCGTCTTCGCCGGCGACGACGCCGAGGCCGGCGACGACGCCACGGCGGCGCCCGCCGAGGCGGACCCGGAGGGCGACGCGCCGGGCGACGCGGCCGCTTCGACGCCCTCGCCGGCGGCGGAGCCCGCAACGCCCTCGCCGGAATCGCCGGAGAGCGAGGCGCCGGGCGACGCAGCCGCCGCGTCGACGGCCTTGCCGGCGGCGGAGCCCGAGCCACCCTCGCCGGATCCGTCGGAGCCCGCGGCGCCTCCGGAGCCGTCGGCGCCGGAGGCTTTCGAGCCGTCGGCGCCGGAGGCTTTCGAGCCGTCGGCGCCGGAGGCTTTCGAGCCGTCGGCGCCGTCGGAGCCGGAGCGGCCGCCGGAGCTCCTGTCGCTAGAGCCGGAGCAGTTGCCGGAGCCCGCGGAGCCCTCGGCCGTCGCGCGCCCGCCGTCGTCGCCGGTTGCGTCGCTCGAGGCGCCGTCCCTCGAGGCTCCGTCGGTCGTGGCGCCGTCGCTCGTGGCGCCGTCGCCGCCGGCGTTCGCGACGCCGTCGGCGACGCCGTCGCCGTCGGCCCCGCCGTCGCGCGCGGCGACGCCGCGCGGATCGCCCGCCGCGGCCGCGTCGCCGCGCGACGCCGCGTCGCCCGCCCCGCCTTCGCCCGACGCGGCGCCCGCGCCGTGGGCCGCGGACTCGTCGCCGGTGCTCCCCGCCGCGCTGCCGCCCGCGCGCGCGTCGTCGCCCGGCTCCGCGTCGCGGCGCGTCCCGACGGACGAGTCCGAGTCGCCGGCGGCGACGCTGCTCCTGTCGCCGGCGTCGACGTTCCTGCGGACGCTGGGCCACCCCGACGACGACACGACGGCGCCCGGCGACGGCGCCAGCGACGGCGGGCCCGGCGGCGGCGCGCCCGGGACCGAGGAGCCGTCGGCCGATTCGGCGGAGCTCGCGGAGCTCGTGCGCCTCGAGCGGTCGCGCGCGCTGCACCACTTCGACGACCCGGCGCTGCACCACGACCACGCGCGGGCCGCCCTCCGCGACGAGGAGGCGCGGCGCGAGGCCGCGGCGCGCGCGCTCGCGGCGCCGCCGCCGGAGCGGCGGACGATCACGCGTGTCGCGTTCGTCGGCGGCGCGCCCCTCGTGCCCCAGGCCCGCGCCGACACGCCCGAGGACTCGCTGTCGACGGCGCCCGACTTCGCGTCGGAGACGGCGAGCTCCGCGACGCCGCCGCCCCGCGGGTCCCCGCTCCGGCGGCGGCGCGGCGCGGTCGAGCCGACGCGGCGGAACCGCTTCAAGGAGCGCGCGCCCTTCGTCGCCGCCGCCGGCGGCCTGACGCTCGCGCCGGGCGTCGACGTCGCGTCGCCGAAGGACGCGCCGCCGAAGCTCTCGGCCGTGGAGCGCTACCTCGAGCGCCTCCGCCGCGACGCGCTCGACGACTCCGACGACTCCGACGACGGCGGGGACGACGCGCCGCCGGCGCGGCGCCCGAGCCGCCAGCTGCCGACCTTCCGCGGCCACGCCATCTTCGCGGCGCGGGACCAGGGCCGGCCCGTCGTCCCCGCGGCCGCGCGCCGCGAGCCGCCCGCGCCGGTGTGGCACTCGCCGCGCCAGGTGCCGGCCAACGGCCCGGCGGTGCCCAAGCTCCTGGAGACCGAGGACGTCGTGCTGCCGCGGAACCTCACGACCCTCGAGAAGTTCCGCGCGGGGCTGCCCGTCGACGCGGCGCCCGCGCCGCGCCGCGCGGCGGCGGCGGTCCGCGTCGACGACGTCGCCGTGCCCGCGCGCGCGGACCTGCGCCAGCCCGCCGCGGGGCCCCTGCCGCACCGCGGCGCGCGGCCCCGGTCCGCGCCGGCCCTGCGACCCGTCGCTCCTCCGCGTCCCCCCTCCGGTTTTTGGCGCGCGCGACGCGGCGCCGCCGCAGGTCGAGCCGGCGATCCTGCGCCTCCGCGAGCTGCCCTGGGCCGCCCGCATCGGCCGCCCCGCGGATCCGCCGAAGCGGCCCCGGGACATTTTCGGCCGGCTTCGCCTCCCGGCGCCGGTCGTCGACGCGTCCGCGGAGTCCGAGGCCACGCCCCGGGACCCGCGCGTCGACCAGATCCTCAAGGAGCAGGACCGCTACGCGTACGTGCTGCGGACGTACATTAAATACTTGTGAGTGTCCTACATGGCACCGGACATGCCCATCATGTCTGCCATCTGCCCAAAATTGCCGCGGCCGAACCCGTGGAAACCGCCCCCCCCGGGGGGGTTGGTGGGGTACTTGAAAAATTTGCAGAAGTCTTCATGGATCTCCTCGGGGCAGTACTCCTTGGAGCACAGGTGCGCGACGACGAGCGCGAGGCACGGGTCCCAGTGCGGCCTCGTCTCGAGGCGGATCGTCTTGCCAAGCCACCCGCCCTTATTCGTGGCCAACTTGAAGACGGCGTTCTCCTGCGCGACGTCCGCGTACTGCCCCCCTTTGACGAGGTCGTCGCCGGCCGCGGTCCACGTCGCGACGCTCTGGCCCGTCTGCGCCTGCACGAGGTTGAAGTGGAGCGCGTCCACGAACGATTTCCGCTCCGACTTCCAGCCAGCCCGTGACTGTTCGCCTTGGTCACTGTGACCCCCCTCGGACCAGTGCCATTTGCAAACTGAAGTGCCCCGCGCGTAGACCTGGAGCTCGAAGCCCTCGCCGAAGGTCCGGCCGCGCGTGCCCGGCGCGATCCGCGCGCGCGTCCGGAGCGTGAACTTGTCCATCTGCCGTTGCCGCGAGGCATCGGAGATGGCTTGGTTCGGATCGATTTCAATGCCCCCCGAAATCTTCTCGCCACTCCTGGGACTGGGCCCCCATTTCCCGTCGAGGCGGCGCCAGTACTCAAGGGCCGGCGACGCGAGGCCCGGGTCCGCGACCTGGATGACCTGGCCCGGCGCGGTCCCGGCGGGCACGGCGACGCGCACGGTGGCGGAGGACGGCATCGTCACGTCGAGGACGCCGGCGTGTCCCTCGGGCACCTGGACGCCCACGTACGTCGCGGCCCAGGGCGGCGGCGCGCCCTGCGCCCCGTTCACCTCGAAAGACGGCTTCGAGTCGAACGTCGCCGTCCAGAGCACCGCGCCCTTCTTGGAGCCGTCCTCGCGGACGAAGTTCTCGAGGTCCACCGTGCGCTCGCCCTCGAACGCCCGCGCCTCCTTCTTCTTCTCCTTGATCTTCTTCAGCAGGAACCAGCGGTCCTTCTTGTCCGTCGAGTCGCCCTTGTACGCGTAGCAGTCGCGCGAATTGAACATGCCCGTGGACTTGAATGCCCGTGGACTTGATCGTGAACACGCATTCTTCCGTGTCGCCCCCGGGTCCGCTAGGATCTCGGGCGGCAAGGCGCTGCTCGAGGAGCAGCCCATCGCAGGAGCAGGATCGTCCCGTTGATGAGCACCTCGAAGAGCGCCGTCTTCAGGAGGTGGCAGAGGCGATAACTAGACGCTCGGGAGCGGTGTCGCCTCAGATTACAAGCGGCGGCTGAGGAATTCAGCCATCTCAGGCTTGAATGCTCATGGCATCGCACGAAAATACATGTTGCAGCTCAATCTCGACCTCAAGGCCGCCAACGCGAAAAAAAAGGTTACGTGATCGCGTAGGCGGCGAAGAGGACGTCCTCCGCGTGCGCGTGCGGGAGGTCGACGAGGACGTCGTCGAAGGAGGACGAGTGGCGCCGGCGGCGCGGCGGCGGCCGTTGGTCGTCCTCGTCGTCGGAGTCGACGAAGGGGTTCCGCGGCGCCGCGGCCGCGGCCGGTCCCGCGCCGCCGTCGTCGTCCGCGGCGACGGGCGCGTCGAGCGTCGACGCGCGGAGCGTCGCGAGCGCGCCGCAGAAGACGTGCGTCGCGGCGAGCGCGAGGAAGGGCGCGTGGACGTTGCCGCGCCGCGCGGCGGCGGCGACGGACGCGCCCGCGAGCAGGGGCCCCGCGGACCGCGCGAGGGAGCTCACGGCGAGCGCCGTGCCCTGGGTCGCGCCGTGGGCGCGCCGCGGCGTCGCGGCGGCGAGCATGACGTTGAGGAGCGGCGCGACGAGCACCGAGCCGACGCCGAGGCAGACGAGCGCGGCGCCGAGGCACGCGAGGCGGCCGCCGCGGCCGGCGACGGTGCGCGGCCGCGCCGCGTAGGCCGGCCCGCCGCCCCCGAAGGGCAGGAGAGCGCAGCCAAACGCCAGGGACGGACACCCGACGCGCGCGTAGAGCGCGACGATGCCGCAGCGGTCGCGGAGCACGGCGAAGAGGCCCCGGTAGAACGCGAGGCCCGACAGCGAGAACGCGGCGAGCGTGTAGCCGACGCGCGCGGGCCTACGAAGCATGACGGTGACGATGTTTCATTGTTTTCCCACCCGAAAGCTCTCGAAAATCGTCGCGGCCGCGGGACGCTGGCGCGGGCCCTAAACCGACGCCGCCGTCGGCCTCGTCGAGGGCCAGGAAGCTCACGAGGCCCACGAGTAAAGCGCCGCTCTGCAAGCCGTTGAGGCCCACGAGGACGAGCGTGAGCCGCCGGCGCCGGTCGCGCCAGACGGCCGCGAGCGCGGCCGCGGCGCCCGGCGGCGGGCCCGGCGGCGTCGCCGGCGCCGCGCCGCCGCCCTGCACGGCGAGCTGGAGCCGCCGCCGCGGGGCGGGTTCGTGCTTGCCGCCGAGGCAGCACGCCGCGAGGCATAAGGTCGCGAAGATCGGCGCGGCGGCGACGGCGAGCGGCGTCGCGTAGGGGTGCGCCGCGGGCGCCGGCGCGGCGCTCAGGCAGCCCGTCAGCGCGGACGCGCCGGCGCGCGACGCGCTGAAGACGGCGCCGAGGAGCGCGAAGCGCTCCGCGCGCGCGCCCGCGGTCGCCGCGGGCGCCTCGGCGACGAGCGCGCGCGCGAGCGCGACGTTGTTGTTCGTGAGCCCCGCGAGCACGCGCAGGCCCACGACCTGCGCCGCGGACGACGCGAAGCCGCAGAGCAGCGTCGCCGCGCAGGACGTCGCGAGCGCGCCGAGCACGAAGGGCCGCCGGCCTCGCACGTCGCTGCAGTGGCCGATGAGCGGGCTGCTCACGAACTGCGCGGCGCTGTAGCAGCCCTGGGCGACGCCGACCCACCAGGCGACGCCCCGCGGGCCCTTGCCGAAGCGCGCCATCATCGCCGGCAGCAGGGGCACGTCGGCGGACAGCGCGATGCCCGCCGACGCGACGATCATGAGCGGCATCCACGACGGCGTCGCCCGCGTCTCCAGCAGGTGGCGCACGAGGGCCTCGTCCTCGTGGACGAGCAGCGGCTCCTCCCGCGCCTCGTCGACCTCCAGCCTTTCTTTGACGTCGAGCAGCGGCTCCTCCCGGGTGCGGTCGAGCTCCATGTCCTGCTCAACTCCGTCGGTGCCTGTGGCAATTTCTGTGATATTGCACTTCAACGTCGGTGTGGCTGCCAGTGTGGCTGCCCCGCGAAGGCATGCCCGCAATTCCCGACAGACAGAACCTGCTGCATCAGAGTCAGAACCGGCAAGCGACGACCGCAGACCAGCATGCTCGCGACACCGCTGGCGCGTCGGCGCCGTGTGCACCGAAGGACGCATCGAACGAGAACGCCGCGAGGCCGCCACCCGCAGCCCTACGTGGCCCTCCCCCGCGATTCCGAAGGACGCATCGAACGAGTACCCCGCGGCCGCGACGACGCGCCCTGGCACGGCCTGTGCGCCATGCTCCCCCTGTGCGACGTCCGGGAGGAGCAGCACTGGGAGGCCTGCCTGCTCCACCTACAGGGCCTCGTCGAGGCGGCGGACGGAGACGGCGCGAACCTCCTGTGGCGCGTCGCGCAGCGCGGCGACGGCCGCGCGGCGCACGTGCTCCTGAAGCACGGCTACAGCGGGCTCGCGGCGCGGCGCGACGCGACCTACGGCCTCGACGCGCGCGAGGTGGCGCGCGCGGAGGGCCACGCGGTCCTCGCGAAAACGCTCTCGGCGTTCGCGGGGGGGCCGAAGGACCGCGCGGCCTCGCGCTCGCGCCGCCGCGCGCCGTTCTGGCGCGCGACCTGCTCCTGGCGCGGCGTCGCGAAGCGCATCGGCCGGAGCCTCGGCCTCGTCCGCGCCAAGTTCGAGCGCGACTCGCGGCTGACGCTCGCGTCCCGCGGGTCCTCCCAGCTCTAGACGCCCTTACTGGAGCTTGTAGAACGCCGCCGCCGTGTCGTGGAAGAGCGCGCGCTGGTCCGCGTAGGGCAGGTCCGCCGTCATGGCGCGGAACTCGGCGTACATGGTCTTCATGTCGAGGCCGTCGAGCAGGTCCACGGGGTAGTTCGACGCGAACGCGCAGCGCCGCGCTCCGAAGAGGCCGACGAGCTCGAGCGCGTACGCCTTGGCCTTCGCCCGCGTCGTCTCGTGCTTCCAGTACGTCGGGAACGTGTAGGCGAGCATGGAAATTTTGACGGAGACGTGCGGGAGGGCCGCGAGCCGCTTCATGCCGTCGCTCCAGGCTTCGAGCGCCGCGTCGTCGAGCGCCGTCTGGCGCGCGTGCTCCTCGCGCGTCGGGATGTGGTCGTCCGGGCCTCCGATCTTCAGCGTGCCCGCGTGGTTGATCATGACGGGGACGCCCGGCGCCTCGGCGGCGAGCTCGGCGAACGCCTGTAGTTGGTGCGGGTTTAGCTGCGCGTCGAAGGAGAGGCCGTGGTCCGCCAGCTTCTTGTAGTTTTCGCGAAACGTCGCGTTGGCGATGAAGTCCTCGCGGACGTTGGGCCAGCTCGGCGCCAAATTCAGGACTTGGCGCACGCCGACGGCGCCCAGGGCCGCCTGGCGCGCGCACTGGTCCCGTGCGGTGTCCAGGCTCAGGTCCACGAAGCAGACGATCTTGTAGGGCAGCGGCCCGGGCAGCCCCATGACCCACGCGGTCTCGCCCTCGGGGTCCTCCTCGTCGATGGTCTCGACGTGGACGAAGGACGTGATCTCGAGGTCCTCGATCTCGCCGGCGGCCTTCAGATAGTCCTGCGGGAGCCATTTTGGCAGCTTCGCCTTCAGGCCTTCGTGGTGCGGGTTCGGCCGACTCTCGAAATCCCAGAAGTGGAGGTGCGGGTCGCAGACGTCGCCCGCGTACGGCTTTTGGAAGTGGTTTCCCATCGAGGCTGCCCACAGTTCTAATGCGGGAACATCGGATTCTCGATCCTGCGCTTCAACCAAAACTTCAAGAAGCGGGTCGTCGGAGAAGCGAATTTAGTGGCGCCTGAGAGCGGCGCGGGGGGAGGGCGCGGGTCGAGAATGAATTTGGAGGGGCGGCAGATCGTGCCGGTCGTCTCAGCCCCAGGTCGGGAAGCCCGAGGCCGCGGTCTCGTGGCGCGGCGGCGCGGGGTCGCCGGGCCGGAGGGGCACCTGCGCGATGATGCCCGGCCGGTGGACGACGTAGGGGTGCGAGTAGCAGGTCGCGGGCTGGGGCGCGTAAGGCGGCGCGTAGGGCCGCTGGACGACGCCCGGGTTCTGCGGGGCCGGCCCCGGGTAGCGGTGCGCGACGCGCGGCGGGCCGATCTGCGACGGCGGCGGCGCGGCGCGCGACGCGGGCGCGACGTGGACCCCGAGGTTGCCCGGGATGAGGCCCGGCGGCGTCGACAGGGGCGGCACCGGCGGCGGCGGCGTCGGCGCCGCGTCGAAGGGGGCCGCGGGCGGCGGCGGCGCCGCCGCGTATGTGAAGCCGTCGGCCGGCGCGTCGCGGCCCGAGAAGCGGTCGTCCGCGCGGCCCTGGTAGTGCGCGGCGAGGCGCGCGTCGAGGTCCGCGCGGCCCTGGTAGTGCGCGGCGAGGCGCGCGTCGAGGTCCGCGTCGGTCTGGAGGCGGCGCATGAGGTCCGCGAGGTCGTCGACGGGCGGGGGCGCGCCCTGCGGGCGGTAGTAGAACGGCGCGGCGTCGGCGCGCGGCGCCGCGCGGGGCTCGCGCGCGAGGCGGCGCATGTTGCGCCGCATGGTCGAGTACCAGTGGTTCTTGATGGCGTTGTCCGTGCGCCCGGGCAGCAGCTTCGCGATCTCGGCCCACTTGTTGCCCAGCCGGTGCTGCGCCTCGTAGATGACGGACTCCTCGCCCTCGCTCCAGGGCTCGCGCTTGATCGCGGGGTCGAGGTGGTTGAGCCAGCGCGTGCGGCACTGCTTGCCGGACCGGAACCCCGCCAGCTCCTTGTTCAGCTCCTGGGAGATGACGGCCCACCGCTTCGTGCCGTGCGTCATGACGAGGCGCACGATGGCGTCGTCCTCCTTGCGGCTCCAGGCGCGCCGCTGCGACGCCTCGCCGCTCGGGGCGCCGGGGCCCGGGTGCGCCGCCGGCGCGTGGCGCCCCGGAGGGCACTCCATGGGCGGGCCCGCCCGGTCGACCCCACGGTCGGCAACACCGTCGGGGAGCTCGGCCACACCGCCGGGCCCGAATGCAGCCCCGCAATGTCAAAGGAGCTTGTAGAGCTCCGGAGGTTGAACGGCATGTCCGACCTTTCGAGGCGCTCTCCTGCGCTGCACCGCGGCGCTCTCCTCGACCTGTGCGGCGCTCTCCTCGGCCAGCTCCTCGGCGCTCTCCTCGGCCAGCTCCTCGGCCAGCTCTCTTCGGCGCAGCCTCGCCGTAATCCCGGCGCTGCCACCCGTAGCGAGCCATCAATCATGTTCAACGTCGGCGCGACGCCGCGCTCGGCGCCGACGGTCATCGTCATCCTGCGCGACGGCGTGCTCCAGGCGCGCATGTTCGAGTGCCTCAGCGACGCGGACGCGCGCTGGTCGGTGAACTGGCTCTACGCCGCCGTCATGTACCTGCAGCGCGCCGACGGGACCTTCGCCAAGTGGAAGGAGTACGGCCTCTGGTCGAGCGTGCGGCGCATTCGCGAGGGCTTCGAGAACGACCCGGCGGAGCGCGCGCGGCTCCTGCCGAACCTGGCGGCCGTGCCGACCGTCGCCGAGCCCGCCGCCGCGTACCCGCCGCGGCCGCCCGCCGCGGTGATCCTCGTGCCGGCGCCGACGCTCGCCGTCGTCACGCCCGCGGCCGCGCAGCCGCCGCCGGCGCCCGTGACCGTCGTCGCGACGCCCGTCGGCGCGGAGTACGCCTATTCGTAAGTCGGCTTCGGTAGAGCGCCTACGTGAGGGGAAACATAGATTCAACATGTCGAAGCTGACGCAAAATTGCCTCAGCGGCGTGTCGCGATTTCGCCATCGGCCTCGGCGGAGAGACTTCGACCGCGTCGCTTGCGACGATGATGCGTGTCGTCGCTGCGTTGGCGATGCTGCCTTGCGCGGTCGTCGCCCAGATGGGCGGCATGGAGGGCATGGGCATGGGCTCGGGCCGGCGCCAGCGCGACAAGGAGCCCCTCGCCGTCAAGGGCGATCTGCCGTGCATCCGCTGCGACGTCTGCGAGATCGTGGCGACGGAGCTGTGGCGCGAGGCGACGAAGCAGCGCGAGGCGGCGCCGCTGACGGCGGCGAGCGGCAAGCCCGGCGAGAAGAAGAGGAAGGTGTCGACGTTCAGCGAGGCCGACGTCAACGAGCTCGTCGTGGGCGTCTGCAACCGGCGCAAGGAGATGGGCGAGTGGCTCTGGTACGTGGACCTCGTCGAGTCCCAGGGCCCGCCGGGCGAGGGCAGCGCCTGGCGGGGGCTGACGAAGAAGGAGAAGGCGTCAAACGAGAACTTCCTCCAGGTCTACCGCGCGCAGCGGGGCGGGCCCATCCGCAAGTGGGACCGCGAGAGCGCGACGGCGAAGCGGTCCTGCGACCTGCTCTTCGACGACGACATCGGCGACGTCGAGGAGCTCGTCGTGCCCCTCTGGCGCGGCGACGTCGACGAGAAGGCGTTCAAGAAGCTCGCGTGCAAGGAGCTCAGCGGCCGCTGCGGCAAGGACCGCAAGCCCGTCAACGCCCAGGGCCGCGAGGACTTCGAGTACGACGCCCAGGACAAGTCGCTCCTCGACACGGAGCGCATGATGGAGAACATGGCCGCCCAGGGCATGCCCATGGTCATGCAGTCCCGCGAGGACATGATGGAGGAGCTCTACGAGCAGATGGAGGCCGAGGGCATGTCCCGCGAGGAGGCCGACGCGTTCATGGACATGGCCAAGAGCTCCGCGGGCGACGACCTCGAGACCGTCGACCCCGCCGACCCCGTCGACCCGGCGGACGCGGAGCTGTAGGGCGCGGCGCGCGGACGTTAGCGTGCTCCCGCCAGCAGGGGGGCGCGGGGCGCGCGGCGCGCGTCGAGGCTGGCCCCGGTGTCGCCGCTCAGTACGGGTCGTCGTGGCGAGGGCCTTGGCGACCCCGGGCGACCGACGCTTGGCCGCCCGCTGAATTGGAGATGAGGCATCGAGTGCTGCCCACAGCATGACGAGCTGAGAGCCTGCCGTGCAGCGGCCTGAAAGAACGCGACGATGGGGCTCGAGCGCCTCTGGCGGACGTCCGTGGCCGCGGCGCCGCCGGACGACGCGGCGGACGACGCGGGCAGCTTCTTCGTCGAGATGTGGTACGTCGTCAAGCTCGGGGCGCCGATGACGCTGTCGGCCGTCTTCGGCTACCTGCCCGTGGTCATCATGCTCGTCATGGTGCGCACGGTCGACGAGCCCGGGGCGACGGGCGGCGCGGGCATGGGCGTCATGTACCAGAATCTGCTCGGCGTGTCGACGATCATCGGGGCGGGCAGCGGCCTCGGCCCGCTCGCCGCGCAGGCGTTCGGCGCGGAGGAGCACGGCCGCGTCGGCGACCTGCTCCAGCGCCAGCTGGTCATCCACGGCTGCCTGCTCGTGCCCGTGGGCGCCGCGTTCCTGGTCGCGGAGCCCGCGCTGCTCGCGCTCGGGCAGCCCGCGGAGACCGCGGCGCTCGCGGGCCGCTACTGCGCGCGGCGCTGCCCGGCCCTGCCCGCGCTCGCACTGCTCGAGGCCGTGAAGCAGTACGCCGTCGCCCAGCGCGTCGTCTGGGTGCCGCTGGTGGTGTCGTGCTGGTCGTGCGCGACGGCCGTCTTCGGCCTCGCGTACGCGGTGCCCGCGCACGGCTTCGACGGCGCGCCCTGGGCGATCACGGCCGCGGACTGGGGCGCGGCGCTCGTCATGGCCGCGCTGGCGCCGCGCCTCGTCGACCGGCGCACGTGGCCGCGGTGGTCGTGGCGCGTCGCGACGGAGCGGTGGCGCGAGCTCCTCGAGCTGTCGCTGCCCGCGGCGTTCATGCTGTTGACGGAGTGGTGGGGCTGGGAGGTCGCGCTGTTGCTCGCCGGGACGCTGTGCGCGCGGGACCGGTCCCTCGACGACACGCTGTTCTGGCCGCCGGCGTGCCCGGCGCTCGACGCGTTCCCCATCTGCTCGAACACGATGGTCATCTCGTTCATGTGCCACTTCGGCTTCTCCATCGCCGGGGGCGCGCGCGTCGGCAACCTCGTGGGCGCGGGCGAGCCGCGCAAGGCGAAGAAGACCGTCGCGGCGCTGCTCTGCGTCGTCGTCGCCATCGCGACGGCCATCGTCGCGCTTTTACTGCGGCACGCGGACCAGTGGGTCGCGTTCTACACCATGGACCCGGACGTCGCGCGGCTCGCGGCGGCGACGCTGCCCCTCGTGGCCGTCTACATCTGGTGCGACGCCATCGGCCCGGGGGCGTTGAACAAGCTTCTGGCGAACCTCGCCACGGTGAAGGTCCCGGCGCTCGTGAACGTCGTCGCTTTTTACGGAATCGGCCTGCCCTACGGGGCCTACCGGGCCTTCGTCGCGCACCGCGGCGACTCGGGCCGGGGCCTCTACGACCTCTGGAGCGGCCTGGCCCTGGGCATCGCGCTCATGGTGCTGGGCCTCGGGACCTACTTTTATTGCTGCGTCGACATGCGCCGCGCGTCGGACACGGCGCGGACCGTCGCCGCGGACGCGTCCAAGTCGCCGGACACGCGCGAATTCGAAGTACTATCGACGCGCGACGACGACGACGGCGGCGACGAGCCGGGCATCAAGATGTCCGTGATCTCGCGCGCCATGGTCGCGGGCGGCGACGACGGCGACTCCGGCAGCGACGACGAGTACGACGACGACGACGACGCGGACCCGGAGCTCGCGCTGCGGCGGTCCGCGACGACGGGCGCGCGCGAGAGCGCCGACGACGTCGTCGAGCTCTAACTTAGGCCGCGAAGAAGCGCGCGCGCCGCTTCTTCTTCGGCGGCGCGTTCCGGCGGAGGAACTGGGCGAGCGCGTCCCGCGGCTTCCGCTTGGGCGCGGCGGCCTCGGGCTCCGGGATCTGCTGGAGCCGGGGGTCCGCGGCGAGGAGGGGCATGACGGGCGGCGGCGCGGCGGCGTCGCGGAGCCGCGCGGCCTCGGCCTCGGGCATGGGCGAGTCGCAGACGTCGCAGGTCGCGTCTTTGGGCTCGTTGAGGAACGTGCACGCGTCGCACCACCACTTGGCCGGGGCCGGCGCCGCGGCGAGCGCGGGCGGCTTGCCCGTGCGCGATCGCGCGGCCGCGGCGGACGACGTCGGCGACCGCGGCGGGCGGAGCGCGGGCAGCGAGTTCATGAGGCGCGCGGACGGGAGGCGCACGCGCGGCGGCGCGCGCGGCGGCGGCGGGCTCGCCGGCGGCCGGGCGACGGCGAGCGCCGCCCGGAGCGGCGGCGGCTCGTAGGCCACGTAGGCCTGCGACGCGTCGGCGTCGAGCGTCTGCTGCGAGAGCGCCGGCTGGTAGGCCTGGGACGCGTCCGCGTCGAGCGTCTGCTGCGAGAGCGCCGTCTCGACCTGCGCGTCGGGCTCGACGGGCGCGACGTAGGCCGCGGCCGCGTCGCCGTCGAGCGTGTGCTGCTGCGACGCGTCGTCCTCCGCGAAGGCGAGGGCCGCGGCCGTGTCGCGCATGTCGACGTCGAGGCCCGGGCTCGGCGGCGGCGGCGGCGCCTGCGTCTGCGTCTCGTCGGCGAGGACGATCTCCGCGGAGTCCTCGACGGGCGCGCGCGCCGTCGGCGCCTGCGTCTGCGTCTCGTCGGGCAGGACGATCTCCGCGGAGTCCTCGACGGGCGCGCGCGCCGTCGGCGCCTGGGTCTGCGTCTCGTCGGGCAGGACGATCTCCGCGGAATCCTCGACGGGCGCGCGCGCCGTCGGCGCCTGGGTCTGCGTCTCGTCGGCGAGGACGATCTCCGCGGAATCCTCGACGGGCGCGACCGCGGGGGCGCCGATGATGGCGACGAGCTCGGCGAGGCGCTCCTCCGAGCAGCTCATGAGGTCCTCGACGGGGTCGCCGTCGGCGTCGACGGAAGCGTCGGAGAAGCCCGGCTGCCGCGCGTCGAGGAGCTGGTTCGCCGCGCGGAGCGCGTCGGAGCCCGTCTTCTGGCAGATCAGGGCCCGCAGGCCGCCGTCCTCGTCGACGTCCGGCGGCGGCGCCTCCGCGAAGGGCGCGTCGCCGCCGTCGCCGCCGGCGACGGAAGCGAGCCGCGTCGTCGTCAGCGCGATCCCCCAGGCGCCCGCGCCGCCCGCCGCGCCACCGCCGCGGCGCACGCCCTTGGACCGGTCCGTGACGACGCGCGCGCCGTGGAGCGCGACGACGCGGCCGAGGAGCGCCGACAGCGCCGTCTCCGGAACCGCGCCCGCCGCGACGCACGCCGCGCGCGGCACGAAGACGCGGCAGCTGTGGCGCCCGTCGGAGACGCGCACCTCGCCGCCGCGGCCCGCGGGCGTCGCGTCGCGCGCCGACACGACGCGCACGAGCTCGTAGGTGCCGCGGAACGCCGACTGCTGCGTCTCGCGGACGACGTTCTCGACGTGCGTCGCGAGCCACGGCGACGAGAGGGCCCGGGCGGTCGGCGGCGCGGGCGCGGGCGGCTGCGACTCCGCCTGCGACTCCGGCTGCGGCGGCGCGGGGAAGCCCGCCAACGACTGGAGCCAATTGATGCCATTTTGTAAAGCCATCTTTGTTTGCGTGTTTTGTGCGCGGCACGGGTTCGCTTTTCGTGCGCTTTTTTTGAGATCTGCGTTTGTGAGGAGGACGGTTTGTTGTGTGTAGTGGTGAAGACGTTGTTGTTGGGCGTTCCGGCCCGGACGGCCTCGGGCGGAGCGGTCTTGCACGCGCTCCCAGACTGCGGCTCGGCTCGGACAAGAGATCTTTTTTTGCCGCGCCGATCGATGCTCTCCGGTCGAGCCAGGTCGCGCGCCTCCAGCGCAGCGTCGCGGGCGGTCTAGAGCGGTTGTAGATGCTCATTTCGGAGGGCTCAAACCAGCAGCCAGATGATTCCGATTCAATTTCATCGTTGGAAGCCGCCCTCGACTCTGTAGCGATCGAGACAAAGCAGAGCTCGGCGCCTTTGACCCACGGCCGCGTCTCACTGCTCGTCATGGAGGACGCGGACTCGGCGCACGCGCGGCGAACCTGGCACAAAGCGGACGCGCTGGGAGCAGCGCTCGTGGTGCTGCGCCGCGCCAGCGGCGTACGCGACGTCGGCATCGTCCTGCTCGAGTTCCTCGAACGCCCGATCCCTCTGGTTCTCAGCCTGGAAGCGACGTATTTGAATGATTTTTATTTCGCATCTAATCTGCTAACTGGGATATGCTGGAGCTGTCGTCGGAAAATTGATAAGCTGTCGTGCTACGAGGACACCTCGATGGGTTTGATCGAGGACGATGACATTCCGAGCAACGACGGCGATGTGCATGTCTTGGAATCAGCGCTTTGCGGACCCAAGGACCGTACCCAAGATTGCCTAGCTGGCTACGAGGATCTCGTTCCGGAAATTGTACGTGTGACACGTCTTTGGAAAGAGAACATTTCCCGTCGTGATCTGTTGTTGCGTGAACTATTTGGCCACGAGCCATTTTTTCGTGGTGTCAATCATCGCTTCCTGAGAGAGAACCGTAATTCAGATTTCTTCGACATCATTGCAGTACGGTATCCGCAGTCAATGCAGGCACTGCACGCGGCTGGCTGGGAATATCATCTTGGCTATGGCGAGTGGCGACGCGATTTTTTTCATGCGGAGTCGGTTCCGGATTTTGATGATTTTGATGATTAGATAACCTAAGCTCCTAGCCTGTGTGATCGCCGGCACGAGGCGGGAGTACAGGCGCTTCTCGAGAGCGCGAAGCGCCGGCGCCCAGCGAGCCGTCGCCGTCGGAACAATTACCACAGCATGGTCTTCCTCCGCAGCGCCCTCCTCGCGACCGGCGTCGCGGCGTCGAACTGGGGCGATGGGAACGGCAAGGTGGGCGACGTGCCGGCCTCCTTCGACTGCGCCATGCGCAAGGCGGCCTACGACTTTGGGAAGAAGCTCGTGCCGCGCCAGGGCTCGTTCGAGGCGCTCTACTACGCGCTGGACCTGAATTCCGACGACTGCCACGTGGACTACGAGGAAATGGAAGGCCCGAAAGCCGACGACGTCATTTTACCTGCGGACGCCGTCTACGTCGCGCCCGGCGGCGCCGGCGACGGCGCGGCCGCGTCGCCGCTCGGGACGCTCCAGGCGGCCTACGACCTCGCGGCGTCGCGCGCGTCGAAGACCGTCGTGCTGCGCGGCGGCACGCACTACGTCGACGAGCCCGTCCTGCTCACGAGCACGCACAGCGGTCTCCGCGTCGCGGCCTACCCCGGCGAGGCGCCCAAGGTCTCGGGCGGCGTCGAGCTCGACGTCGCCTGGAAGCGCGTCAAGGGCAGCGACGTCAACCTCTACGTCGCGGACGTGGACGTCGACGACGTGCCGGGCCTGCAGATCGACGGGGTGCGGTCCACGCGCGCGCGCTACCCGAACCTGCCCGGGGGCCTCGAGGTCTCGTGCGGCTACGGGTGCATGATCCCGAGCGCGAACGCGAGCTGGACGCCGCCGGACTTCGGCCGCTTCGGCGAGGTCGAGTACTTCACGGACAACCGCAGCGACACGCTCCGCGACGACACGCCCGACGGCTGGTTCCAGCGCTACATGGTCGGCCGCGAGGGCCTCTGCAGCGTCTACGACCCGCCCGTGTCCTACTGGTGCTCCGAGAAGCCGAGCGGCGGCGGCGCGTTCGCGTTCCGCACGCCGAGCGGCGTCGCAATCGATTTACCGAACGCGCCCTACGCGGACGCGGGCGACGCGCTCTTCTTCGTCTGGCGCCCCGCGCGCTGGGCCAACTGGATGTTCGAGGTTTCGTCCGAGCGCGGCGGCAACTACACCTTCGGCCGGGGCGGCAACCAGGGCGCGCGCGGCTCGGACAACGGCGGCGACTTCTTCGTCGAGAACGTCTTCGAGGAGCTCGACTACCCGAACGAGTTCTTCTTCGACAAGAAGGCGAAGAAGCTCTACCTCGTCCACAACGGCACGGGCGCGCCGCCGGACGACGCGACCGTCGTCGCGACGAAGCAGCGCGTGCTCCTCAACGTGTCGGGCACGCAGTGGGACCCCGTGCGCGACGTGAAGCACGAGGGCGTGACGTTCACGTCCACGCGCTACACGTACATGGACCCGCACGGCGTCCCGAGCGCGGGCGACTGGGCCCTCGACCGCGTCGCCGCCGTCTTCCTCCAGGGCACGGAGGGCGTGACCTTCGACAAGTGCGCCTTCGACCGCCTCGACGGCAACGCGGTCATGGTCAGCGGCTACAACCGCGGCGCGACGATCGTCGACTCGGACTTTTCCTTCGTCGGGGGCAACGCGATCGCGGCCTGGGGCTACACGAACGAGACGGCGACGGACCCCGGCCGCCCGGGCGTGGTCAACGAGAACTGGCCCGCCGCGGGCGTCGACGGCACGGACGGCGAGCACCCCGTCGGCACGACGGTCCGGGGCTGCACCGCGCGCGAAGTCGGCCTCTACGAGAAGCAGTCGTCGTTCTACGTCCAGGCCAAGACCGCCGCGTCGAAGATCGAGGGCAACGTCTTCTTCAACGGCGCGCGCCGGCGTCCCGCTTTTCTTTCGAGAGATTCTGTCGGACGAAGGCGCGCGCGCGGTAGGTCCGCGCGCGGGCATCAACGCGAACGACGGCTTCGGCGGCGGCGACGAGATCGCGCGCAACCTCGTCTTCAGCACGTGCCGCGAGAGCGGCGACCACGGGCCGTTCAACTCCTGGGACCGCCAGCCGTTCCTGACGACGCAGCGCACGGGCAAGCCGTCGATGATCATGGCGTGGCGCGAGATCCACCACAACTTCTTCATCGACAACTACTCGCCGCAGGAGGACGTCGACAACGACGACGGCTCCTGCTTCTTCAAGACGCACGACAACTTCCTCGTCTACGGCGGCCAGGGCATGAAGAACGACTTCGGGGGCCACGACAACCGCCACTACAACAACACGTACGCGTACGTCGGCCGCGCGCTCGGCGTAACGACGACGCTGCCGGGCCACGAGGACCTCTTTGCGGGCAACAAGGTCGTGCTGACGAACTCCGACGTCGGCGGGCCCATCTGCGACGCGCCGGCGACGAAGATGGCCGACAACGCCTACTTCACGCCCGACGGGAAACTCACGGAGTGCGGCGTCGCGCTCGCGGAGAACCAGAAGAACCGGTCCATGGACCTGGGCTCCACCGTCGCCAAGCACCCCGCCGACGACGCGGTCATCGAGTGGGCCAAGGCCGCCCTCGGCTTCTAGGCGCGCGCGCGTGCCGGCCCTTTTTGTTGTACGACCACCTGAGTTCTAAACTAGAGCGGATTTTGAACAGCAGAGCCAGGTGAGCCCGCGGCCCCCGTAATTAGTTTTCTCTTAGTCCTCGTCGCTATCGTTTTCGTCTTCGTCGCCATCGCTGTCGTCGGAATCGACATTGTTTGGTGCCGGGTCGTGATCGAAAATGAGCCGACTTGGTGAACCCCTGGAGTACTTGACCTCGATGTCACCAAAGCGGCTCGTAGCCTCTTTCCAGTTGTAAAGACCGACCGACCCCAAGGGTAACCGGGAGAATGGAACCGTGCCCGCGAGCTGTCCACCGAAGAATACGGACGCCATCGATGAGTCCCAATCGAATTTCGTCTCGACGGTGTTCCATTCGCCAGCCACGGTGCCCTTACAGAGGACGAGTTGTTGGCCGGCAAAACCCTCGAAGTTTACGCTTCTGATTATTGAGCTCAACGGTTCGGAGTTATTCAAAATGAAGCATGCCACGTGGCATATCATGTTGCCGTTCGTTGATCTTAATGTGAGGGCTCCGTAGGATCCGCCTGGACCTTCTGCCATTTGCCGAGCTTCGAAGCGGCACCGAAACCGAAGGCTCTCCACGCGATTGTGCTCACCGGAGAAATCGAAGAGCAATCCGGATTCATTATCATGAGTCGAACCTTTTAGAAGCAGGTGATTGCGATTCTCAGAGTCTCGTTCCACTGTCGCCCTGAGCGTAAATTTGATAAGACGTCGTCGTTGATCCGAGAGCATGTCCGCTAAACGCCAGCGCACCAGCCACCCGCTGTCCCAGCGCTCGTGGAAGTAAACGGTATCACGGCCGGAGTTGGCCAGGCCGTCCATGATCGCGCGCTTGACGAGCTTCGAGGTCCCCGCGGCGCACAGAAGCCGCAAATGACCCGCAGCGAAGGACTGGGCGAGCACCGGGAGCGACGAGATGGTATGGAGATCGAGGAACTGCACTACACTGTCGGTCACATCGTGCTTGCGCCAGAGCGATTGAAGCCGTGCGTTGGCGGCGTTGCGCGGGTGCTTGGCTGGCTCGCTCATGATCCCTGCGCTTTTGCCGCGACAGCGTTGCGCGGGTGCCCTGCGCGCGCAGCTCCGCGAGGAAGCGGCGCCATGGCCATCGGCGCCTGATTTTCGTTAATTATAACCTTTTCAACATGCAGTTCAATCACGGGCCTTTGCATGATTTTGAAGGCGCGAGTCGCGCACCATACTAAACTAAAAACACGTTAGTGGGCCCTAGGCCGGGCAGCCGCCGGTCATCTTCTCGCAGTAGGACCCCTCCGTCGACAGGAAGACGCGGTCGCTGTTCTCCGGGATGCACGTGCACACGTTCGTCTCGACGACGATGCCGCCCTCGCAGCCGGCGACGTTGTACTCCCAGGTCATGGAGCCCCACTTGCCGCAATAAAAATGGTTGGACACCTGCAGCCCCATGTTGTCGTCGTCGTCCGTCGTGTCGTCGACGCGCGGCAGGCCCGTCCGGTTCGCCATCTTCAGGTTCTCCTGGCGGTTCGCGACGAGCAGGTCGCTGCCCCGGAGCTCGGCGTCGAGCGTCTCGACGAGGGAGATGGTGTCGTTTTTGCAGGAGCCGCTGCCGAGGTACTCGAAGCCCACGTGCTGGTCGAGGTAGTGGTCCCACGCGACGCCCCAGCCGAAGCCGTCGTTGGACCGCGCGGCCTCGTGGACGGCCTCGACGTAGGCGTCGTAGCGCGTCACGTCCATGGACAGGGAGTCGTCGTCGAAGGCCGCGGCGAGGCGGTTCTCGACGTAGGTGACCGTCGCCATGATGGAGCCGAAGGCGTCGTCGGCCTTGCCGACGGCGACGCGCTGCGCGACGCACTCGTCGGTCTCGACGACCGTGGTCGACGTCATGTTCACGACCGTCGACACGCCGATCCAGGACGCCACCGTCGCCTGGGCCGACGCCGACGCGACCTGGACGTCCAGAAGCACCGGCGGCGCGAAGCCCCGCTCCGCGACCCACGCCTGCATGAGCGCCGAGTTCTCCGCCATCGACGACACCTTGAAGCTGTAGAAGTCGTCGAGCTCCTCCANATCGTCGCGGGGGAGCCGCATGGCCGCCGCGCACTCGCCCTTGCCGTAGACCTTCCAGTCCTTCGTCAGCGCGTAGAGGTCGGCGTCGCCGTGGATCGGCGCCGCGATCTCGTAGACGTGGCCCTGCAGCGCGAAGGAGACGTGGGCGACCTCGAGCGTGCCGTCGGCGCCGTAGCCCGAGTAGCCCGTGGACTTGCGCAGGAAGACCCGCTGGCCCAGGTCCCTGAGCGACTGGTAGTGGAGCGCGAAGTTCTCCGGGCCCGTGTACATCTGCACGCGGTTGTGCATGAACGCGTTCCAGGCGCCGCCGGCGAAGGTGTCGCCGAGCAAACCGTCAAAGGCCAGCACCTGCTCGTCCAAGGTCATGGCGCCCGTCGTCAGCACCGGCGCCTCGACCCAGTGGAGGCCGACGCCGTCGCCCAAGGTCGCGTACATCTTCACGCCGTCGCAGCCGAGGCACGTCGTCTCCACGGGGGCCAGGGTCCCGTTGATGAGGTCGATGATGGCGGCGCTCTGGTTCGCGACGGACGGGTAGGTGACCTTGTAGACCCACCAGTCCGCCGAGTTGGCCGTCCCGAAGGCCGCGTCCGCGGCGTCGGCGCGCTCGGCGCGGAGCGACAGCGTCGCGGGCGACCGCGCCGCCGCGAGCCACCGCCCGGAGTAGGCCGCGAGCCCGGCGAAGGCCAGGAGGGCCGCCCCGGCGGGGGCAGCGCTACTTGCCCGCATCGCGTCGGCTGCCCTGGCGCAAATGCGTGCGCAAAAAGGTTAACTTTCAAATGCGTCAGAGTTGACAACATCCATGGTGAAGGACAACTCCCGGAGGTGGCTGTCCGCGAGGCAAGCTCGTGGCAAGCTCTTGTGCTGAGCAGTCGCGCCGCCGCAGCTCAGCGCGCGCCTCTCCTTCTCCGCGCTCGTCGTCGCGCGCCGCAGCAGCTCTAGCGATGCCGAAGTTCGACTTCTTCCCGCGCATGGCCATGTCGCTGGTCAACATCCGATGGCTCGGCCACCGCACGCGTGCGTTTCGCTCCGTCCGTCTTCGGCGCGGGACGTCGTCGCCCGCGCAGGCGCCGTCCAGGCCGTGTTCCGCATCGAGCCGAAGATGAACAAGCTCGAGGCGCGGCGCCGGCGCGCGCGACCGGGGCGCGCGCGCGCGATCGGAGACGCCGCCGCCGCAGGTCCGCGAGTACCTCGAGAAGATCTACGGCCTGCCCGTGCGCAAGGTCATGACGGAGAACTTCATGGGCAAGCGGAAGCGCATCACGGGCAAGCGGAAGATGTTCCCCTACGCGCGACCAAACTACAAGCGCGCGATCGTCACCTTCGCCGGCGACGCGACCGTCTACTCGCCCGATAACTAGAGCTCCCCGTCTCCGGCGAACGCGCGGGCGAGGTCGCGGGCGAAGTAGGGCCGGCCGTCGGCGCCCTCCTCGTCGATGACCCAGAACATGACGCCCCGCGGCTCGAGGTGGTCCGCGGCGAGCGCGCGGAACGCGGCCGCGACGTCCGCCGGGTCCGCCCGGAGGAACTTCTCGCCGTCGGCCCAGCCGTTGGCGAAGCCGAAGGCGAGGCGCGCCGGCGGGATGGCGATCGTGGAGCGCCCGCCGGGCAGGTCCACCGGGAAGCCGCGCGCGAGCGCGCGCGCGGCCGCGGCGACGTAGTCCGCCAGCGACGCGCCGCCGACGGTCGTCGCGTGGCACGCGCGCGAGTAGCCCTCGTAGAGCTGGACGGAGATGAGGTCGAAGGTCTCGACGCCCGCGCGGTCGACGACGGCCGCGTAGGCGTTGCGCCCCGCGTAGGGGAAGCCCGCCGCGGGGAAGCCCGGCGTCGTCGCCGCGTCCCAGGCCGCGAGGGGCTCGTTGTTGAGCGCCTCGGCGTAGGCCGGCGAGGCCGCGTCGAGGTAGCTCTCCGCGGGCGCGAGAAACACGACGTACTCGTCCGCCTTCGCCTTCTTCGAAAAGTCCGCGACGAGGGCCGCCGTCGCCGCGCCGAGCGTCGTCGTCGGTGCGGCCGGGTCGTCGTGGCCCTCGAGGTCCCAGTCCACGCCGTCGAAGAGGCCCCCGAGGTCGTCGTTCCACGCCTTCCAGCAGTCGTACCACGCCGCGCCGGAGAGCTCCGTCGACGGGTGGGGGCCGTTCCAGCCGCCGAAGGCGCAGAGCGCCGCGACGTCGCCGTGGGCCCGCGCGCGCGTCAGGGCGTCGCGCGCGGCGTCGACGTCGAACGTCGGCGCGACGCGCGGCCGACCGCCGCCGTCGAGTTCGAGGTGCGCGAAGGCGAAGATGACGACGTTGACGCCGTGCTCGACGGCTTTCACCACCGAGTCCTCGCGCAGGCTCCGGGACGTCGCGTAGCCGACGACGAGCCGGCCCTTCGGCAGCGCGAGGGCCCGGGCCATCAACGGGAGGATGAGGAAGCAATCGGCCCGCATGCGTCACCTCGCGAGCCTCGTGTTGCTCCGCCTGTCCTAGGAGTCCTGCGGCGGCCTCGCGAAGCGAGAAATGTTCGATTGGCACCGCGAAACGCTGCGCTTTTAGAGGCTCGAGGGCTGCACCATCGTTGTTGAGGCGGACTTGCAGCTCTGCACTCGCTCAACGATGGCTGCTCTGCGTGCTGCCTCTGCGCGGGCTGTCGCATCGATGCTGAGACCCGCACAAGCAGGCGCGCTGCGAAGCGCACCAAATGCGCTCGCCACCGCGCGCCCCTTCACGGGCTCCCGCGTGCGGCGGAGGGAGCTGTCGCTCGTCGAGGAGCTGCGCGAGATCCGCGTCACGGACGGCAAGCCCGTCATGGCGCGGCGCGAGCCGCCGTCCGTCGTATTCCCGGCCTTCGGCGCGCTCGACGTCGACGGCAGCGACGTCGAGCTGCCGCGCATGCTACGGCAGCGCGTGACGCTCGTCGGCGTCTCGATGCGCCAGATCGGCGCGAAGCACCTCAAGAGCTGGAGCGAGCCCTTCGCGCGGCGCGTGCACCTGTCGCCGCGCGCCAACGACCACACGGGCATGGTCCACGTGTCGCTCGTCGAGAACCCGATCCTCCGGCTCTTCAAGTCGTGGCTGCTCCGGGACCTGCGCAAGGCCGAGACGGACCTGAGCCTCCAGCGGCGGTCGTGCCTGCGCATCGGCGACGTGTCCGAGATCCGGAAGACGCTCGGCGTCGACAACCGGCTCGTCGGCTACGTCTTCCTCCTGGACCACGAGGGCAAGGTCCACTTCCGCGGATCGGGCCTCGCGACGGAGGCGGAGCTCAAGCAGCTCTTCGACGTCGCGCACGAGCTCGTCGCCGAGCGCGAGGGCCTCGGCGACGCGCCGGCGCCGGGCCACGACGACGACGGCGTCCTCATCGGCGAGGACGAGGTCGACCTCGCCGCGCCCGCGCCGACGAGCGACCGGCCGTTATAAGGGGGAGGTTTGTACTAGCTTCGAGCTCGGCGCGCGCCCGGGTTACAACAGACTCGCGCGGCGGGCGCGCGGCGCGCCGCGGCGCGCGCTTCACATGAAGAAGAAGCCCGCGCCGACGGCGACGGCGAGGCCGAGGACCGCGACGTACGCGAAGGCGAAGCGGTAGATGGGCGCGGCGGCGAGGGGCTCCGCGGGCGCCTCGGCCTTGGCCGGCGCGGACGTTCGGATCGCGGCCGCGTACTCGGCCTTGTCGTCCTTGGTCGTGGAGCTACTCCGGATGGCCGACGCGTAGGCCGCCGCGGCCGCGGGCGCCGCCACGGCCGCCGGCGCGGGCTTCGGCGCGGGCGCGGGCGCGGGTTTCGGCGCGGGCGCGGGCGCGGCGGCGGCGACGGGCGCGGGCGCCGGCGGGGCGACGGGGCAGCCGCCGCCCAGGGGTTTCGGCACGGGCATCTCGACGACGACGGCGGGTTTCGGCGCGGGCGCGGGCGCGGGCGTCGGCGCGGGCGCGGGCTCGGGCGCGACCTCCTTGACCGGCGTGGCCGGCGCCGGCGCCGGCGCGGCGGCGGCGACGGGCGCCGGCGCCGGTGCCGCGGCGGCGACGGGCGCCGGCGCGGCGGCGGCCGGCGCGGCCTCGGCCGGGGCGGCCTTTTTGGGCGTCTTCGTGGGGTTGAACTTGAGCGCGTCCTCCTTCTTCTTCTCCTTCTTGCTGAAGAAGCCCGACATGCCCGTGACGGCCGCGGCGGTCTTGCGGAAGGTGCCCGTGGACTTTTGCTTCTTCTTCGCCTCCTCGAGGTAGTCGGTCGCGTTATCGGCGCCGAGCGACGCGGCCTTCTCGAGGGACGCGACGGCGGCGTCGAGGTCCTTGGCGACGCCGCTGCCGTACATGTAGCGCACGCCGAGCTGGCGGTGCGCCTCGGCGCTGCCCGCGTCGGCGGCCTTGGAGATGTAGGTGAACGCCTTGGCCTCGTCCTTCTCGAAGCCGCCGCCGCCCTTGGTGTAGAGGTTGGCGATGAAGAGCTGGGCCTTCGTCGAGCCGCGCTCCGCGGCGAGGATGAGCCACTTCTTGGCCATGGCCTTGTCCTGGTTCGTGCCCTTGCCGTGGGCGTAGAGCAGGCTCAGCTCGTAGGCGCCCTCGGCGGACCCCTCCTCGGCGCTCGCCGAGTACCAGGTCAGCGCGTCGCCGTAGGTCCGCTTGTCCGCCGCGTAGGCGTCCCCGAGCTGCTTCTTCGTCTCCGCCGTCGCCTTCCCGGCGTCGACCTTCGCCTTTAACTGGGCGATGGTGGAATCCATCGTGTGTGTCCCGGGCAGCCCCCGAAAATTTTTATCGACCAAACGATCCTCAACATCGCTGCAAGTACACGAAGGCTTAAAAAACGCCTGTTTAGGCAAAGGCTGGGGCTGCCCCGCGCGCCGTCGGAGGGCGCCATGTTCCCCTTCGGCCGCAAGCGGGAGAACCTCGAGGACCTCGACGACGACGAGCTCTACGAGCGCTACGTCGCGGCGAAGAGCGCCGACGAGGAGCGGGGCGAGGCCCTGCCGGGCCTGGCGTTCATGAACGCGCTCAGCGAGGAGCGGCAGGACGCCCTCGCGCACCTCGCCGAGCGCGCCGAGGGCGACTGGCCGAGCGACGACGAGGGCGCGGACCCCTACACGGGCCGGCTCCGGCCGACGGTCTGGGACGACCAGCGGCGCGCGCCGCGGTCGCCGCCGTCGAGCGCCGGCGACCGCGGCGACGACGACGGCCTGGCCGAGGACGGCCGCGCGACGCTGTCGCGGGCCGCGGGCGTCCACGCCTTCGTCGAGATGGACGCGCTGCGCCACGACGGCCGCTTCACGGACGTCGTCCTCGCGTGCGACGGCGGCGAGACGATCCCATGCCACCGCGTCGTGCTCTGCGCGTCGTCGGCCTACTTCCGGTCCCTCCTCGTCGAGCGGAGCGACGTCGGCTTCGGGGAGACGCTGGCCATGCTCCCGACGCTGTCCTTCCACGGCGTCGCCGCCGCGGTGGACTACTGCTATGGCGCCGGCGTCCGGATACTCGCGGAGCCGCCGGCGTCCGGCGCGCCGCCGCGGACCTGGCGCCACCTGCCCGGCGCGCTGCGGGCGCTGCGCCACTTCAAGATGGGCCTCGCCGAGGAGCACGTCTGGCGCTGCTGCATCCGGGTGTTGGACGCGTGCCCCGAGGCCTACGCGCTCGCCGTCGACCTCCACACGCTCGCGGACGACTTCGACTGCGCGCCCCTCAAGCACAAGGCCTGGCACGCGGCCCTCGAGATGAAACCCAAGGCCCTGACGCTCCGCGCGCTGGGCAACACGGCCCAGTCCTACCCGGCCGAGGCCCACGACGTCGACGACGCGGCGCTCCTCTACCCCTTCGACGACGACGGCGCGGACCCGGAGCCCGGCGCGGACCTCGCGGAGCCGCCCTACGACGCCGCGACGGTCGTCGGCGCCTGGCACCGCAAGCTCAAGGCCATCCGCGACGACCTCGGCCCGGACCCGCCGGACGCGTACGGCGACCTCTACGGCTCGGGCTCCGACGGCGGCTCCGCGTCGGCCGGCGACGACGACGACGACGACGACGGGGGCGCCGCGCCGCGCCACTCCATGGCCAGGTCCGCGTCGCCCGACTCCGCCACGAGCGACCAGTAGTAACATCGCCGCCGCGGCGCGCGCCGTCGTCGACGTTGACTTGATGGTGAAGCCTCGGTGCAGCAGCGAGTTATGGAGGCCCTAAAAACGCTGCGTCGGCTGTGCTTCTGGCTCGCCGCAACGAGCGCCTACCGGCCGCCGCTGCGCTACTTCGCGTCCTGCTGCCGCGGCCTCGAGGAGGTCCTGGCGAGCGAGCTGTCCGGCCCCCGCATCCGGTCGCCCGAGGTGCGCGTGGGCAAGTCCGGCTGCGAGTTCGACGGCGACATGGGCGTGCTCCTGCGCGCGGGCCTCGAGGCGCGCACGGCGACCAAGGTCATGGAGCTCCTGGCCTGCGAGGCCGGCGTCGAGACGGCGCAGGATCTGTACGACGTCGCGCGCAACGTGCCCTGGGACGCGCTCATGCGCGTCGACGGCACGCTCCGCGTGGACACGACGCTGGGCCGCGCGCCGTCGGCGGCGCTGACCCACTCCCACTTCTCGTCGCTCACCGTGAAGAACGCGATCGTCGACTCGTTCCGCGCGGGCAACCGCCTCGGGAGCCGGCCGAGCGTCGACACCAAGGCCTGCGACGTGCCCGTGCACCTCTACGTCGACTACGACGAGGCGCGCCTCTACCGCGCCGTCGCGTCCGAGTCGCTCCACAAGCGCGGCTACCGCGGCGACGTCGCGCACAAGGCGGCTTTGCGGACGACCGTCGCCGCGGGCCTGCTGTATCTCGCGGACTGGCCGGCGAAGGCCGCCGCGGGCGCCGTGCTCTGCGACCCCATGTGCGGCTCGGGCACGCTGCCCGTCGAGGCCGCGCTCATGGCGCGGGACGTCGCGCCGGGTTTGATTCGCGCGGGCTTCGGCCCCGCGGGGCCCCCCTCCGAAGCCCCCCTCCGCTTCGCGTGCACGACCTGGCTCGACTTCGACGGCGACGCCTGGGACGCGGCCCTCGGCGCGGCCCTCGGCCGCGCCCTGCCCCGCGCGCCGGCGCAGATCCTTGCGAGCGACGCGCACGACGGCGCGCTCCGCCTCGCCAAGGACGGCGCGCGGCGCGCGTCCGTCGACCGCGACGTCGTCTTCGCGCGCGGCGACGCGGCGACCCTCGCGCTGGGCGCGACACCCGACGTCGTCGTGAGCAACCCGCCCTGGGACGGCCGCCTCGACGGCGCCGAGGAGGCGTGGGACGCGCTGGGATCGTTCCTCCGGCGCGAGGCGCCGGGCGCCACCGCGCACGCGCTCACGGGCAACATGGCCGTGACGCGGAACCTGCGCATGCGCGCGTCGTCGAAGCGCAAGCTCGTGTCGGGCGGCGTGGACCTGCGCTTCCTCAAGTACGAGGTCCGCGGCGGGACTCCCAAAACCGAGGCCGCGCCCGCCGAGGCCGAGGCAGACGCGCCGGCGGAGCCCGAGGCAAAGCCCGCCGCGCGCAAGCCCGCGCGGGCGCCGACGGTCGTCGTCGCGGCGGCGGCGGCGCCGTCGCCCTGGGGCGCCGCGCCGTCGCCCTGGGGGCCCGCGCCGGACGCGGCGTTGGACGCCGTGCCCATCGCCGGCGCCGCCGACTACGCGACGCGCACAGTCGTCGAGCTCAAGGACCTCCTCCGGGCGCGGAAGCTCAAGGTCTCCGGGCGGAAGGCCGAGCTCGTGTCCCGCCTCGAGGCCCACGACGTCGTCGCGAGGTAAGGGACAACAATTACACGTCACATGCCGTAGTGCGCCGGGGCGCCGCGCGCGCGGGTTCGGGACTCGCAGCCGCCCTCGAAGGCGCGCTCGCACGTCCCCGAGGACGCGCACCACGCGTAGCCCGCGGACGCGAGGCAGCCGTGGGCGTCGGCGTCGGCGCCGAGGAGGCTCAGCGGGCAGTCGTAGCCCAGCGCCGCGTCGCAGGAGCAGCAGTTGCCCACGGCCGACGCGACGCACTCGCCCTTGCGCATCGCGTAGGCGTCCGTGTTCACCGGCGCGGGGCCGTCGCCGAACCACTCGGCCCAGCGCGCGTCCGCGGCGGCGATGTCGGCCTCGGGCGACCATTTCGGCTGCGCGTTGGCATTGAAGAGGTAGAGCGCGCCGTCGACCAAGGCCCACGCGGTGCCGCAGTAGTCGGCCGACGCCAAGGCGATCGGCGGGCCGAGCATCTCGCGGCTCCAGGCGTCCTCGGCGGCGACGCCCAGGGCGCAGAAGCCGCCGTACTTCGGCGCGTATTTCGCCGGGTCCGCCCGGAAGGCGTCGCGGTTCGCCTCGGAGCCGAAGCGCCAGACGTAGCCGCCGTACTCCGCCGTGATCGCCGGCGACCCGGCCGCGCCGCACTCGCCCGACGGAAGGGAATGGAAGGACACGACGTCGTAGCCCTGGACGGCCGGAAGGTCCGCGGAGGCGCAGTCGCCGTCCAAAGTGCACGGCGCGCAGAGGTCGCCCGTGGCCGTGTTTTTGCAGCCGGGGCAGCTCGCCGTCCGTTGCTCGACGAGCAGGGCGGAGCGCAGCGTGGCGCCGCCGGCCAACGTCAGGGCGAGGGAAGACGCGGCGAAGAGCGCGAGCGGCGCAGCCCGTCGCGCGGGCTGCGGCGCGATGGAGCCGTGCTGCCCCGCTCGCGCGGGCTGCGGCGCGATGGAGCCGTACGATTCCATCGTTGATGGAACGGCAAGGTTCGGTGTGTTGCCGGGCAACATCCCAAGGTTAATGAACGCATTTCGGCCTCGAGTGAGCTGTGCATCGCCCGATAGCTCCTCGACGCGCTGCCATCTCGATGGGCAAGAAGCAGCAAAAACAACAAGCGCGCGGCGCGGCGCGGCGCGCTTCGAAGACGAGCTGCCTCGTGAAGAAGGCGCCCGCCGCGAAGCACGCGGCGAAGCCCGCCGTGGGCAAGGGCCCCAAGGCGCTCTACGTGCCCCAGAAGACGCAGACCGTGAAGCTCGGGTCGCGGCGGCCCGGCGGCGCGGGCGGCGGCCCGTCGGCGGAGAAGCTCGCGCTCAAGCAGCGCCGCCGCGAGGAGGCCGAGGCCGCGGCCGCCGCGAGAGGGCGCGCGGACGGCGCCGCGTTCGCCGCCGCGCGCGCGGGCGTCGCGCCCGAGGCCGTCGTCATCGCGCCGGCGTCCTTCGCCGTCGAGGCCAAGGAGTCCGGCGACATGCGCTGGCTCTTCGACGTCGACACCGCGCGGACGCCGCGGCAGCCCGCGCCGAGGCGCGCGGCCGCGCCGCCGCGCCGCGACGACGGGCCCAACGCCTTCGCGGCCCTCGGCGACGACGCCGACGCGCCGCCGCCGCCGCGGCCCGCCGCCCCCGCGGCGCCGGTCGTCGCGCCGCCGACGGCGCTCGTCTTCGCGCCGCCGACGTTCGTCGTCGGCGGGCACGCGCCGGGGCCTGCGGAGTTCGAGGACATCTAACACGTTGCTTAGTAAAGCTCTACGGGCCGGCTGCTGCCAAGAAAGCGGGCGGACGGATCGTGGTTACGCGACGCCTCACCACTCCCCGCCGTCGAAGTTCGCGAGGCTCGGGGGCTCCTGCTTCGGCGGCGGCGGCGGCGGCGCGCCGTAGGACCCGTACTGGGGCGGCGCGTACTGCTGCTGCGGCGGTCGCTGCGGCGGCGGCGGCGGCGGCGCGCCCGGCGGCGGCGCGTAGTAGTTGGGCCGGACGCCCGGCGGCGGTCCCGGCGCGCCCGGCGGCCGCGGCCCGCGCGGCGGCGGCGGCGGCGGCGGCCCGCGGGGCGGCGGCGGCGGCAGGGCCTGCTGCTGCTGCTGCATCTGCTGCTGGCGCTGGTGGTACTCGCCCCACTCCTTGGGGAGGCCCTCGACGTCCGCGAGCGAGAAGCGGTGCCGCGAGCCGCCGCCGAGGTGCTGCAGGAGCTCCTGGTAGGGCACGTGCTTGAGGAGGTCGCGGTGGTCCGGGAGGAGGTGGATCTTGGACCGCGTCTTGGCATCGACGAAGCGGGACGCGACGCCCCAGAGGCCCCGGAACCAGCCGTCGGCCGGAACGATGACGGCCTTGGCGAGGCTCTCGGGGAAGTTGAGCTCGAGGATCTTGGCGAGCTCGCGCGGGTAGGCGAGCTTGTTGAGGCCGCCGCCCTTGGGCGCGGTCAGGTCGCGGACGACGACGACGACGACCTTGCCGTCGGGCGACTTGGCGACGGCCTTCTCCATCCAGTAGACGGCCGCGCGCGCCGCGAGCGCGACCTGCTGGGGCGACGCGTTGGGCCCGACGCCGGGGCCGAAGTGATAGAGCACGGGGTGGCCCTCGTAGTCGGCGCCCGCCGTGAAGACCGTGCCGAGCGCGAGCCTGTGTGGAAATCAACCAGTGGAATGGACGCGTCCAGCAAAACTTCAAACCTCTCTATCTCGGTCAAATCGAAGTCGATTCGGCTGATTTTTGGACGAATCGATTGCTCTCGTCGAGTTCTCGAAGCACAGCTGAAGCGCTCGTGTCAAAACATTCGAATAAGCGCACATTGAAGTCGTGTTGAAGATTTGATTTCCACACAGGCGCGAGCTGGTGCGCGATGGGGCTCGGGTCGACGGGGCACCCGTACGCGCGGCGCCACCGCATGGACGCGCCGAGCATCTCCGACGCCGCGTCGGCGTCGTCGTTCCGCGCCGTCAGGAACTTGGCGTACGTCGTGTCCTCGAGGCCCGGGAACCGCTGCTTGAGCGTCCAGAGCGCGCGCTCGCGCGCCTGCTCCTTCTCCCGCGCCTCGCGCGCCGCGCGCTGCTCCTCGGTGTCGCGCTGCGGCTGCTGCCAGGACTGCGCGCCGTCCGCCGGGCCGTAGCCGGGGCTGTACCACTGCTGCTCCGCCGGCGGCGGCGGGCCGCGCTGGTGCGGCGGCGGCGGCGGCGCGCCGTACGGCGGCTGCTGCTGGCCGTAGCCCTGCGGCGGCGGCGGCGGCGGGCCCCAGGCGCCGGGCGGCGGCGGCGGCGGCGGCGCCTGGTTGTAGGACGCCTCGACGGCAATCGCCGAGACGATCGTGGCCTTGAACAAGGACCTCATCGCGGCGACTGCACGTTGCGGCGCGCTCGTCGCTCGATCCCCGACGACGCGCGTCAAGGAGTCGACAAGGACGACCTCGGCTGCGACGGCGAGCGGAGTGCTTGCAGTAGTGGCAGTCGGCCTCGTCACCTGGCGTCGCCGCGACGACACCATGTCCCTGCCCATCAGCCACGTGACGATCTTCAAGAAGACGGGCCTCGTGCTCTGGTCCCGCGCCGTCGAGAAGATGCGCGGCGATCCCGTGTCGCAGCTCATCCAGAACTACCTGCTCGAGGAGAAGGGCGGCGCGGCGCGGCGCGCGACGATCGACGCCTACGACCTGGAGTGGCGCTTCGTCAACGAGGGCGACCTCGTCGTCGTCGTCGCGAGCCAGCGGAGCCTCGAGCTCGACTTCTGCGGCGATCTGGTCGACCTCGTGCGGAAGCGGGTCGTCGCGTCGGGCGCGGCCGCGGACGCGGACAAGGCCGCGGCGCTCCGCGCGACCTTCGACGCGACCTACGACGCGCTCGCCCGGGAGATGGAGGCGAAGCTCCGGCTCAAGCGGAAGAAGGCCGCGGCCAAGGCCGAGGAGGCGCGCGCGCGCCGCGAGGAACAGCAGGCGGCAAAGGCGGCGGAGGAAGACGACGACGACGACGAGGAGCCGCCGGCGTCGGGCGCGCCCGCGACCGAAGCATCGGGCCTCGCGAAGCTCAAGCGGCGCGCGTCGGCGACGAACTCGGGCGGCCGGCGCCGGGGGTCCGCGAAGGCCGCCGCGGCGCCCGCGGAGCCGCGGGGCCCCAAGAAGCCGACGGTCTGGCGCGACGGTTCCCAGCGGAACAAGCGCCTGAGCGCCAAGGAGGCCGAGGCGCTGGACTTTAGCGGCAAGGCCGGCGACGCGGACGCGCGGGCGGCCGGCGAGGCGAAGCGGCTCGACGAGATGCGCGGCACGTACCTGCCGGGACGGGACGAGACCGCGGCCTGGGACGAGGCGGACGAGCTCGTCGAGGAGAGCGACGACGACGGCGCCGAGGAGAAGCCCGCGGGCTGGTTCGGGCGGAGCGCGTTGGGGTCGCTCGTCGCGAACGTCTCCGGCACGCAGACGCTCACGCGGGAGCTCGTGGACCCGGCCATGGAGAAGCTGCGGACGACGCTCATGGAGAAGAACGTCGCCGTCGAGGTCGCCGACGCCATCACGGCCACGGTCTCCGAGTCGCTCGTGGGCAAGAAGGTCGAGCGCTTCGCGCGCGCGAAGACGCTCGTCCGCGACGCGCTCAAGGACGCCGTCGCGCGCGTGCTCACGCCGAAGCGGTCCACGGACGTGCTCCGCGAGGTCCTCGCGGCGAAGAAGCGGCCCAAGGGGCCCTACTCCATCGTCTTCGTGGGCATCAACGGCGTCGGCAAGTCGACGTCGCTCTCCAAGGTCGCGTACTACCTCAAGGAGCACGGCGTCGACGTCATGATCACGGCCTGCGACACGTTCCGCTCCGGCGCCGTCGAGCAGCTCCGGTCCCACGCCAAGTGCCTCGACGTCGAGCTCTACGAGAAGGGCTACCTCAAGGACCCCGGCGACGTCGCGAAGGCGTCGCTCGACCACGCGAAGTCGCGCGGCAAGGAGTGCGTGCTCATCGACACGGCGGGCCGCATGCAGAACAACGAGCGCCTCATGCGCGAGCTCGCCAAGCTCATCTCGGTGAACAGCCCGGACCTCGTGCTCTTCGTCGGCGAGGCGCTCGTCGGCAACGACGGCATCGACCAGCTGAACATGTTCAACAAGTCGCTCGCCCAGTTCTGCCCCGACGGCCGCCAGATCGACGGCCTCGTGCTCACCAAGTTCGACACCATCGACGACAAGGTCGGCGCGACGCTCTCCATGACCTACAAGACGGGCCAGCCCATCATGTTCATCGGCGTCGGCCAGAAGTACACGCACCTCAAGAAGCTGTCCGTCAACGCCGTCATCAACGCGCTCTTCTCGTCCTAGGCGTCGTAAACGGACCCCTACTCCTTGGCGTCGGCGCAGGTGCGCTTGCCCGCCTTCGCGTCAAGAAAAGCGGCCGCGAGCGCGCGCCGCGAAACGGCCCAGTCGAGCCGCGCGTCGTAGTCGCCGCGGCACGCGGCGGCGAGGGCGCCGTAGTTTGCGCCGTCGAGGAAGAGCTCGGCGACGGCGTCGGCGTAGGCCGACGGCGGCGCGTCCGCGTCGACGAGCGCGCCGCGGCCCGCGCGGACGATCGTCGCCGCGCCGCCGACGCGCGCGGCGACGACGGGGACGCCGTGGGCCAACGCTTCCACGAGCGTGACGCCGTAAAAGTCGGCGCGCGACGGGATGCACACGAAGTGGGCGCCCATGAGCGCGCCGGCGAATTTCGCGCGGCCCGCCGGCGACGACCGGTCGCACCAGCCGGCCACCTCCACCCAGTCCGGCACTTCGACCCCCGGCGGCGGGCCCGCGCCGACGCAGACGAGGGACGCGCGCGCGAGGGCGTGGAGCCGGTCGCTGCCATTGCCGTCGCGGAGCGCCGCCCGCGCGGACTCGCGGAGGTGCTCGACGGCGGCTAAGGCGACCCTTCCGCCCTTGTGGTCGAAGCCGCTTTCGGACGCGACGAAGCAGACGACGCAGGACCTCGGCGAAAAGTTGCGGCGCACGACGGCGTCGTCGACGGCGGCGCGGCCCGGCAGGCGCGCCGCGTGGGCCGCGCCGTAGGGCAGCCGCGCGGTGGTCCGCGCGACGTCGGGACCGTACGCGCGCCGCGTCACCTCGACGGCCCAGTCCGACGCGAGGAACGCCGCGGAGGCCCGGTTCAGCGCCGCGGCGTCCCAGGCGGCTAGAAAGCGCTGGGCCTGCAGGGGCACGGCCGCGGCGCCCGCGGCGCCGCCGACGTGGCGCCAGCCGCTGCTCTCGTGGAGCCAGCACGCCCAGGAGCAGTCGTTCCACCAGACGACGGGGATCTTGGACTCGAGGCGCGGCACGCAGCAGTTGCCGTCGGCGACGAAGAGCACCTCGGCCTCCGGGTGGCGCCGCAGGGCCTCGTCGACGGCCGCGGCGGCCGCGACGAGCGTCGTCTCGCCGTAGCGCTCGAAGAGCGTGGCGTTTTCGTCCTTGTCGAGCGACGCCGCGATGGCCCGGCTGCAGTCGACGGTGCCCACGACCTCGACGCCGGCCATGCCCGCGACGGCGTCGAGCACGGACCGCAGCGTGCCGCTGTAGGCCCGGGGGTCGTCGGGGTCGTTGTCGCAGGCCACGAGGACGCGCACGCGGGCGCCCGGGTCCGGCGGCCCGGCGTTGTAGCCCGGCGCGTAGGTGAAGCCCAGGCCCTGGGTCCGCGACAGGCGCCGCGTCCGCGCCACGAGGTCCGACATGGCCCGATTCGTGCCTCGAGGCGCCGAGCCGGCGTTGCCGTCTAGAGCCGCGTCCACGAGGATCGAGTGGCTCGCCGGGGGTCTCGAGGCAAGCCCGATTCGGTACCGAACGGCGCTGCGCGCGCGGGTATTCGTAAGCCTTCGAGGCAGCCCGGCCAACAGCGGGGGTAATAGGCTGCACCTTTCACTCGTTGCACCGCGCCGATTGCAACATGAGGGCGCTCGCAGTGCTCTTGCTCGCGGCCGGCGCGGCGGCCCTGCGCCGCACCGCGGACCGCGCGCTCGCCGCGCGCGGCGGCGCAGTCTCTCACGACCGGTCGCTCTTCGCGGCCGAGGAGCTCGAACACCCCTTTAGCGCCCTCGCCGAGTTCCTCTGCCAGGACGAGGAGCTCGGCGAGAAGGGCCCGAAGCGCGTGCGGCGCGCGCTGCTCGCCCTGTCCATGAGCTCCAAGGCGCTCAAGGCCACGGACGGCGTCACGCACCACGTCGCGTCCATGGGCGCGTCCGCGGCGTCCGGGTCGTCCGTCGCCGAGCGCGTCGCCGCGGCGCGCGACGTCGCGGGCCGGGGCCCGCGGAGCCTCAAGAAGCGCGCGTCGGCGGCCTGCCGCGCGCGCGCCGTCGCCGAGGCCCTCGAGGCCTGCGAGCTCGCCGCGCGCGCGCCGCGCGGCGCCGTCGTCGAGGACGGGACCGGCGCGTTCGCCGTCGAGGCGAGCGCGGAGCTGTCCGAGGGCCGCTGCGTCGTCGCCTGCCACTGGCTCAGCGGTGCGAGCGCGCTCGTGCGGGCCCTCGACGCCCCGGCCGTCGACATGGAGACGGCCGCGGGCGACCGCTGCGGCGCGTCGGGCCCGCTGCTCGAGCTCGCCGAGGCCGCGCGGGACGCGCTCGCGCCGCGGCTCGCGAACCTCGCCAACGGCACGGAGCTCGTCTGCGTCGGCCACGGCGCCGGCGGCGCCGTCGCCGCCCTCGTCGCCGCCCTCGAGGCCGGCGCGGTCCGGCGGCCCGCGGCGGCGCCGCCGGCGCCGCGCGCCGGCGCCGCGGGCGCCGCCGCGCCGCGGCCCGGCCCGCCGCCGCCGCCGCGGCTCCGCGTGCGCGCCGTCAGCGTCGGCTGCGCGCCCTGCGTCGGCAACCGCGCGCGGCGCTGGGACCCGCGCCGCGGCCGCTGCACCGTCGTCCTCCTCGGCGACGACGTCGTGGGCCGCTGCAGCCGGTCGTCGCTCGCGCGGCTCCGGCGGCGGCTCCGGCGCTTCCTCCCGGCGTCGGCGGGGGGCGTCGCGGGCTTCGTGCGCCTGGGCACGGCCCTCGCGGGCTCCGCGCTCGAGCAGGGCCTCGGCGCCGCGGCGCGCGCGACGAAGAGCGACGACCGCGCGCCGAGGCCCACGGACGACGACGAGCTCCGGCTCCCGGGCGACGTCTTCTACCTCAAGCCCCGCGCCGACGGCTCCGTCGGCATCTACCGCGGCGGCGCGTCCCGCGGCCGCGAGGAGCTCCTCTGGCAGCTCAACGACGTCCTCCTCTCCAAGAGCATGCTCGCCCACGCGACGGCCGGCGCCTACGTCTCGGCCCTCGACCGCGTCTAACAAGAGCGGAGCCACGCCTGGGTCGACCGCGGACGACGGCGTCGGACGGCGCGGCCGCACGTGCGGCAGCCGCGAGGCCGGCTGCGACGGCCGCGTGCGGAGTGCCACGGCGTACCGGCTCGCCGCAGATCCCCACTTGAAGCAAGCCGGAATCGCTGACAGCGATCCGGCCTGGTCGGATTCTGACGCGTGTTACGAAACTGACCTTTGCCTCTCCCGAGCAATCGATCGTCAAACGTCAACGTAAACACAAATAAAATGCAATGTTCGGTAAACCTACGCCACAAACGAGATACATCCAGCGCCCTCGCTGCAGCTCGCGTTTTGCTCTGCACCAGCTCTCTCGTCGTCGCAAAAAGCACCTGCCAACCATGGTGCGTCGCCCGGCCGCGCACCCGCACCGCCCCCACCCGATCCCACCGCCTCGACCGCGCGGGACCGCGGGACCGCGCGCACGAAACCCGCCGTCCACCCACCCGTCGCCGCGTAGGGTGCCGGCGCCAGCGCGGAGACTGCCCCGTACTCGAGCCTCGCGGATGCCAAGGAGAAGCTCGGCGCCGAGGAGTTCGCGGCGAAGATGAAGACGACGCGCTTCAACACGCTGCTGCCCTCGCCGGAGGGCAGCTGCAAGAAGCTCGCGGTCGTCCAGTTCAAGGTCCCCGGCGCGAAGAACGGCGGCACGGACAAGGGCCCCGACGGGAACCGCATCGACTCCATCCCCATCGCCAACGGCGTCATCAAGGCCGGCGGCGCCTGCGACATGCTCCTCTACGACTACGAGGACCACGCGGGCTTCGAGGCGACGATCGAGAAGTACGACGCGCTCATCGTCCGCATCAACCCCGGTCAGCTGTCCCAGATCCCGGGCGTCGACGGCGTCCAGGCCAAGTTCGACGCGACGATGAACGCCTTCGTCGCCAAGGGCAAGCCCGTCTGGTCGTCGCCGGGCGTGCAGACGAAGATGGGCGCCAAGGACGCGCTCTGCAAGATCGCGAACATGGGCTGCGGCCTCGTCGACACCTTCGCCTACTACGACGAGGAGACGCTCAAGACCGAGTTCAAGAAGACCATGGCCTTCCAGCCGCGCGTCATCAAGCAGAACCGCGGCTCCGCGGGCGAGGGCATCTGGCTCTGCTGGATCGCGAACGAGGCCAAGGACGGCATCATCGGCGCGCACGAGTACCCGTCCAAGACCTTCGGCGAGAAGTCGCTCGGCGACGACGTCGTCCTCAAGCTCATGGAGATGAACGACAACCACGTCGAGTACCACACGGTCGGCGAGTTCCTCACGTTCTGCGTCGAGGGGCCCGACGGCGCCGGCGCGGGCACGTGGACGTCGACGTTCCCGGGCCAGTACCTCAAGGGCGGCGTCGCCGCCGGCGGCCAGCTCGTCGACCAGCGCCTCCTCGGCCGCATCGACGAGGGCGAGGTCCGCGTGCTCATGGCCGGCGACACGTGCCAGATGATCATCCACAAGAAGCCCGAGGGCGGCGGCCTCAGCGCCGTCGGCGGCAACAGCGCCTACACCTACTACGAGCCCACGGACCCGCTCTACGCCGACCTCCTGGCCAAGCTCCAGGGCGACATCAAGAACGGCCTCCTGGACGTCCTCGACCTCAAGGGCGAGAAGCTCCCGCTCATCTGGACGTGCGACTACATCCCGAAGAACCCCGAGGGCTGGGACAAGGCGGAGAACGCCGAGCCCATGCAGACGGAGTACGTCGTCGGCGAGTTCAACTGCTCCTGCGTCGGCATCTCCATGTTCCAGGCCGTCTGCGGCGGCGAGAAGACGCTCGCGGACGTGCCCGACGCGGACTACTTCGAGGCGTGCAAGCTCACGGACCTCATGGGCGTCAAGGCGCTCGAGATGCTCGCCTAGGCGCCGACCGCCGGAGCCGGCGCGACTTGCACCGTGCCCCACGGGGCGGCGCGCGGACGCGGCCGCGCGCCGTCCGCGCGGCCGCCCGGGCCACGACGTCCCGCGTACCCACCGCATCGCCCGCCGCCTCCCCGCCCTTTACCAGCCCCTCCCCTCCCCCCCCAGGGTGCGAGATTTGCCCGAAACCCAGGGGCCCGTCGTCGTTAACCGCGGGTCTCTCTCCCGGAGCCCCGAGCGACGCGCGATTTCCAGTTCCCGCGCGTTAGTACGGCGTCACTTGCGGCGACGCGGCGCCGAGGCTCGGGTCCACGGTGCGGTGGAACTCGCCGAAGTCGACGAGGCACGAGCCGCCCGGCTGGCGGAAGACGCAGGGCGCGAAGTTGTGCCACCAGGCGAAGTTCTCGAGGGCGTAGGAGTGGCGCGCCTGGACGAGGCGCGACGTGATGTCGTCGACGCCCTCGACGATGGCGACGATCTCGACGTCGCGGTCGAAGAAGAAGGCCTCGAGCTCCTCGCGGAACTCGCGCGCCTCGTCGCGCGCGAAGCGCGGCCGGTGCGCCGGCGGCGTCGCCGCGCGCGGGACCTCCGGCGGCTCCGTCGGCAGCCCGCAGAGCGGCGTCGCCGCCGCGGTCTCGCGGTCCGCGGACCGCGCGCGCCGCGCCTCGTCGTCGGCCGCCGGCGGCGCCGCCGCGGGCGTCGCGCCCGCCGCGACGGCGTCGTACATGGCGAAGCCCGCGTCGGGGTCCGCCTGGACGAGGCCGTCGTCGTCGAAGTCGCCGTCGTCGTCGTCGTCGTCGAGGCCCTCGACGGGCGACGCGCCGCCCTCGTGGGGGACGCGCGGCGCGAACATGCGCACGTCCGTCGACGGGAGGCGCCGGGGGGGGCGCTTCTTGTGGGGCGACGCGATGGACGCCGCGCGCGCCGCCGCGTCGCGGTCCTCGCCGAGCCCCGACCAGCGCCGCGCGCCGCGCGCGGAGATCCACCGGCGGCCCGGCACGAGCGGGCTCGACGCGTCGAGCTTGTGGACGACGAGCTGGGGCAGCGCCATCAAGAGCAAACCGCCCGACGCCTCGTTGGGCCGCCGCAGGGCCATGCGGTGCGCCTGGTAGTAGGCCGTGCCGTGCGCGTCGCGCTCGTGGCGCACCTGCGTGGAACTCAAATCTTCGACCCAATGCGATCGCGTGCGACGGTTTCGACGCAGGTTTTTCTGTTGTGCTTCGAGAACTCGATGAGCGCAATCGAGTCGTCCAAAAGTCAGCCGAATCGACTCCGATTTGACCGAGATAGAGAGTTCTGAAGTTTGGCGGGGACCCCCCGAACCAGCGGTTGATTTCCACGCGGCGCCGCGCCGCGTACACCCTAATCCGCGCGTCGAGCAGGTGGTGGCGCCGCAGCTCGCAGACCTGGAACACCAGATAGAAGGCGTCGCCGACGCGCCGCACGACGGCCTTGTCGCTGAAGAGCACCGTCGACTGGCGCTTCCGGCCCCGCGTCAGTCGGTGGAAGATGATGCCAAAGTAGAGCGACTCGATGACGAGGCTGCAGACGACCTGCACGTTGATGATGACCAGCGGCTCCCAGCAGTGGCCGAAGAAGTAGTCCTGCGTGCCGTAGCCGATCGTCGCCATCGTCTCGAGGCTGAAGTAGTAGGCCTCGATGCGATCGCTGAAGTCCATGCCGCACTTGTCGGCGAACGACAGGTACGCGAGCGCGAAGACGAAGACGACGAGGATGTAGACGAGGCAGAGCAGGCCCATGAGGCGCAGGAAGGGCAGGTGGACGATCGTGTTGAACCAGTCGTCGAGGTACATGTTGAGCCAGTCGCCGCCGACGCGCTTGATGTTCCACCGGCCCATCGACTGGTGGTCGTAGCTGTCCCGCAGCAGGATGCGCGACCGCCGCTGGTCGTTCTCCGAGAAGCGCTGCTGCTGCTGCCGCTCCCGCGCGCGGATCTCCTCGTACCTGCGACGCGGGAGAAGGAATCGACG